ATAATCTGATTCGACAAATTTACCGATGGACTACCTAATTGACTACTAGACTAGACATCAATCACTTCTTCTACAGAAACTTATTCAGCTTCGTGCTGGAACGTATGAAGAGCACATAATGTCGATGCACCCGATGCAAAGGAGGCGCCCAGCAATCCACAAATTGCTCTAAGAGAGAAAATCACATATGAGAAGAAGCAAAGTTACATTAAAGAGATCTTACCCAGTCAAAGCGAAGAAGACAAGCTCCCTGGAATCAAAGGGAAACTCAGTGCTTATATAGGTGGGATAGACCGCTGTCACTGTGTCCGCGCCCTGAAACCAGACAGCCAAAAGGCGCACTGCCGAAGCGCCTACGACACAGCCGAAGAAACCACGCCAATAATTTCGCACCGCAAAGTATGTGGTGGTTACCTCGCTGCTAAAGAGATTGGGATTGATCAATTATATTTATATAGATTTACTTATTTATTTATTTAATATGAAGAACTCATTGTTCTCAATCATTGTTATTTTTATATTATATTATATTGTGTACCTCCAATGGGTGCTGCGAAACAGGTGCCAAAACCTAAGGCGCAGGCAGCGGGCAGCATTTCGGTGCTGCGCGATTCGTTTTGGTAGATGCTGCGAAAGGGCGTGGCCAGCTTGCTCAACAGATGTGCCACGATGCTGGCAATGTGCACATAGGGGCCCTAAGACAACAGAGGAGAACTTAAAGTCTTAAGAAAAGGCAAATATATATATTTTTGCTTTTAAAGTTCACCTCCTTGCCCAGGGGCATGCCGCTGCCCAACACGCATGTGGGGCCCAATACCTTAACCACCAGGGTCTTAAATGTGAGATAGTTCTTGAGAGGAACGCCACGCAGAATGGTTTTCATTTCGGGTATGCCTGATCCTAAAGCGCAAACTCATATAAAGCCAAAGAGCTACAGATAAATAAATAGTGCAAATTACCTGCGGCCTAATGTATAAAGCTGTTGGTTATCAAGATCATAAGTACGGGTATTGCGACCCAAGCGAAATACCTCACAAATGGATCGCCAGTAATATCATTATAGAAGATTAAGTAATATCATCAAGAAATTAGATTGGCAACTCGAATTACCTTCAATAAACAATCGGATTCCTTCATCCATAGCGAATGATATGAGGGCCATGATGATGCCACAGGCTGCTAGAAATATCCAATCCTTGCTCAGGCGCTCGGACAAATAATGCCAGATCCAGGCGGACGTGCTGTGCAGGTGTTTGGGCTCACTTGATTGCAGCTGGAACAGCTACATATAATAGAAAATATTTTATAGAGAGGACTTTCACATCATATTGTATAATAATACAATTAAAATACAATACAATTAAATAAATACTTAGGATTGCAAATATTTACATTTAAGGATTTTATATTCGTTAACACTGTGAGGACATTATTTTTGGGAATTCATATGAACGCCCATATACCTACCATATACCTATGTATACTAGTATCAGCAAACACACGCATTTTCATATCAAAACATTGATAATTGAGTTACTGTTCATTTATATTGATCTCCTCTATTAATTGAAAGCTCTGTTGTCTAAGCGAAAAAAAAACACAAAACAAATTTAAGATTTAACTCGACCCAACTGGTAAGAAGTAGTAACTTCTACAGTTTTGCAGTAACAAAGTTAAAGCGTAACAACTAACTTACTTCCAATCAAGCAGTCGGCCATCCATATTGAATTTTATATGTAACTGTATATATTTTTCTCAGTGTATCCTGTTTATATACATGTGTTTACACCCCTTAAGTGCTCACCTGATTTCGAAGCTTATCGCTGCTTATCGCAGCTTCGCGAGCTTACGTAGTCCTCGCGCCTCATCGCCAGCAAATTGTTGCATATTCCTCGAATACCTGCCATACATCTACAGGTTAATCAGAAAGTGAATAAGGTATGATGTATGACTCAACAATATGGTAGACGGTTGGTCAAATCAATAACATTGTGAATTTGTCATATGAGATGTGCTAAAAATGAATATATTTAGATATGCATACAATACATGTTCAGTGCATATATATGTAAACATTTCATTTAAGTGTCTGTATGATTTAAAAAAAAAAAATGGCAAAAAATAATGGAATTGTAAACAATATAGTCACATCTATCACATGAGCGGCGAATTAAACATTTTAAACGGCGCTAATTGGGCACAATTAACGCAGTTTCCCCGGAAAACAAGGAAAAAAGCAATAAAAACAATTAAATTGATAAGTATCAATATAAAAGAAGTGTGACCATCAAGGGGAAAAAATATATATATATGTATATTTGCGAATATCAAAAGCAAATACAAACATATGGCCATCTGGCACCTGGTGCAAAATTATATCAGAACGCTAACAAATATTTAGACCACATAATTGACAAATTATCACTTGGTGCTCGCCAATTAGTTCTCAAACAATAGCCACAAGTCTAACTTGGGAGAATATATTAAAGTTGTTTATTTAATAATTTCATTATAATTTGAATCAAGGAGTTTCTTTGCCTTAGCATAATTTCCTTGGTTGCTAGGCAAATTTAATAGAATGAAAATTGGTTTCGATTTTCTTATATAAGTAATCTAATTTCACCATTTAGTGAACCAAAAGAAGAAATTGTTCAATGAGGATCAGAAATAAAATTGGAAAAAATCCTTAATTAACAGATAACTTATTATTATTATTATTACTATTATTTTTTTTTTAAAAGGATCACCGACTTTTCACTAATATTTTGCTAGATGATTATAAATTATATTATAAGTCACCTGTCACTAATCTGACTTACTACTACTTAATACTCAATTGTTATCATTTTTTGTTCAAAGATTTGTAGCTAAGAGTTCGACTTTGCATTTAATTTTCTTATTTTTTTTTAATGTGAACAAGGCACCTTTTAATCTATTCCCAAGTCTTTTGACCTTTGTTAGCGCTTACCAGAGTACGAGTGTATCCTAAATCTTCCTGATTATCGCCCGCGATCTCAAGTTTCTCTTGCCGTGTTATAGATCCATTCGAATATGTGTCTGGGGATTGTGGCCTCAAAGTGGATGCATCCTGCTGCAAGGATGATGACCCTATGTGCTGCCTGACTATGGCGTTTCAATCTGATAGTTAACTAAAGGTGAACTCTGAAGGCGGTGTCTGAATTTCATTAAATTATAATTATTTATAATTTGTTTTATTTTATTTTTTTTTAATTATTCAGAACATAATATTTTTTTTTAATTATTCAGAACTTCACTTTTTTACTATAAATTTTTTTTTTTTGACTCGTGTAGATTTTTTGGAAGTCACATCCGCGCTCGAGCGCAGCCAAAATGGGTTTATCAATCCAGATCATGCTTCCTCAGTCTACTTTGTCGCATAATCGAGAGAGATGAACTGGCCAAAGGCCCAACGGGCTGCTTGTCGCCAATCGTTCTCATTTCGCGTCAAAATGCGATCGCAAATGTGCCCTGTATAACTAGTTTAGGAGTTATGTATGCTGATGCAAAACGTTATAAAATATTGTTTATATTGGAACTTATTGTTTTTTTTTTTTTTTTATTATTAAGCTGTGCAATTTTATGTACACTATTCGAAATTCGAATACAGGGTATTTGTACATTCAGCTGAGATCTTGTTAACATGGTTCCATATGTTAAGCTTAAGCGCTGTTAACTTGAGTGATGCCAGTATATACCACACTTTGTTCAAGCTCTTCTGTTTCTATTTTTTCATGCAAATACACATTTATGAATGTATGCATAGAATAATACGGATATTATCTCTTCGTGGAATCAGGGTATATTCTAATCAGGTATATTCTAATCGACTAGATCATCCTTCTTAAATATCATTGAACAACAATAATATGCACAAGTGATTCAGCCAGCATTTTATATCCTTAAGTAAAAACGAGAGAATACAAAAATGAGGCAAAACGCAATGAGTACCAGTGGCCAGTGGGAGATCGTGTGGGATTTGGAGGAATTCTTAAAAAATAAGTCTGGTTGCAAGTTCCCCACGAGCTCCGACTTCATTTTATCATACAGGGGATAGTTGAGAACCGTGAATTTAGAAGGGAAGCCAGGTTTTCCTGTGCATTCTTCGATTAAATCCTCTGTCAATGAGAATCTATACGGTAGACAAGCCATATAGTTAACTGGTTCGATTATCCTATTAGATGTTGGCTCGACAAAATTCCAAGCACTATTCATTTTAATTTGTCTTTCAAAAATTAGCGCAGTCGATCCCATAGATACTAAGTATTGTTCGCCATTTTCAGACTGAGTTTGATATATTGCATATGGAGTGCCTGGTCGTATTATTTTATTATAATATTTGTATATCATATCTTTTGAGTATCTTCCCACGCATATTTTCGACCAAATTTTGTTTTTAATTGTTCTACAGATTTTATTCCGACGACGCGGCATACTTAACAAACAAATTTTATTTGACTTCAATATCGAAGAATTTCAGTTTACTTGTAACAAATATTATTTCTGAGTTAATGTGAAAAGTTCTATACTTGTACATACTTGGATGATCAAAAAGAATTCGAAATCGAATATATTTTAAAATCTGAGCAAACGGAGTTGCTTCTGTTTCTGCTGAAACAGATTTCAATGTATGTCAGAGGGACAGAAAACATACCTTCTGGGAACAGCTTAAGCATGACACGCGAAAAATAGCGATAGCAACGGGGTCTTTGCGTAGACAGATAGAAAATGTTACGGACTGATAGGAGGAAAACGACGGATCCTGGTGGAAGCGACAAATACGATCCTACGATATGGTAGAATAGTATAAGCGGATATATTGACATCAGAAGTAAGGCGAAATCCCAGGCTTACTTGCACAAGAGAGATAGAACGTGTTGATAAATAAAGAATGCTTTATACTGAGAATTCTTTTTTTATTTGATACAGATAATTGATGGTAGATAAATATCGGATCAAAAAATACAAAGCGCCCTTATCTCTTTAATTTTGTATACATATATTTCATACATGTTTTCAAAGTTCTTTTTTAAATATTATCAAGTATAAATTATGTTCATCAATATGAACAAATGCTTATAAAATTACTACAATACTACAAGGCTAACTTTTAAGTTTTAAATAAAGACGTGAAAAAAACAAAAACTATACAAAACATAATGAGTATAATTGGCCAGTGGGACCATGTGTAGTATAGGGGGCAGTTTCAGAAGCTGCATTCATATCCAGATCATCCAACAAAGCTTGTGTCATTTCATCATACAAGGGATAGTTGAGTACCGTGTACAAAGCAGCGGGACGAGGTTTTTTCGTGCAATCTTCGATTAATTCGTCAGTAAACTTAAATTTATAGGCAGGCAAACCATGACTTTAACTGATTCGATTATGTTCTTAGATTTTGGTGCAATGAAATTCCAAGTACTAGTCATTTCAATTTCTTGTTCATAAATAAGTGGCGTATCTCCCATTGATACTAGGAAGTGTCGCCCTTTATCAGATTGTGATTCAAATATGGCATATGCAGTTCCTTGCGGCACTATACCATTGAAAAATTTCAAATATGTATAAAGCTTGCGAATATTTTCCCACGCATATTCTTGACCAAATTTTGTTTGCAATTGACCGACATCTCAAAGTTCGACGAGTCATAATTTATGTTACAAAAAATTTTGGTTCGACTTGCAGATCAGAGAATTTTAGTTCACTTAAAAATAAATTATTTTTGACGGGTTAATATAAAACCCGCTACGTACTTTGATTATATACAAAAGTTTCAGATTTGTTTATCTTGATTGCCTGAAGTGACCCGAATCCATCAGATTTGGAGAGTCCTGATTTAATTTAATTCTTTAATGTCTATAACCATGAAGTTTTTTTTAACTTTATGTTGCCCCGAATCAAGAAATATTAAATAAGTGTTTAATTTATTATTTTATTTAAAATAAGATATATTGACAAATCAGGAATCAATTAAAACTATAATTATATGGCCTAAAAAAGTAGAGAAAATTATTACAACCCGATGGGGGTATTTTATTTGCCAGTCCGGTCAGCTATGCTCCTATGAACAGTCAAATATGGTCAGTGATACTATTGAAATTATGAAAAGCAGAAAGTGTTAAATGAAAACTTAAAATAAATATAAAAGGAGCCTAAATATTTTTCTTTTAATTACAATTATAATAATTCTGAAGATAAAAATTAGTAACGAAAAAGAATAACATTACAAGATAGTAAAAAGGAAAAATAATAAGAAATATAAAGAAAAGAGTAAGAAAAGAGCTAAAATAGAATATATGTAGGATAGGATTGAGAAATCACAGCACAACATTGGCAACAAAATGCTTGACACGTCAAGTGATTTCCCTAAGGTAAGCTTCTGCTCTATTAGCAGTGCATATGCATATTAAATCTGAAGTCTCCAGGTCTAATAGTATTAAAATTGCACTGAAAAATCGAAATCAATCAATCGATTATTATCGATTAAAAAGAAATCGAATGAGATATTTAAAAAATATGATCAACTTGTACTGTGTATGGTATATACGCTAAATTTAAAATTTCTCTAGCTCTTATATCTTCTGAGATCTCGGAGTTCATACGCACAAGCAGACGGACAGGAATATATCGATGCAGCTTATCGCCTTGATCTGCGATGCTTCCTCCTGCCTGCCAGTTTTCACAAAATCAATTAACCCTGATTTTCCATTTTCAATATTAATTCGTTTTCAAGGTATAATTAGCCAAATCAAGGAATTGGATGTCCAAATCAAAATCAATTTTTTATTACATCATGAATGTGGAAAGTCAAACAAATGACTATTTTCCAGTTTAAATGTATATTTCAAAAGTTGCTTGTTGTTATTTTAAAATATTTATTTTGCACTTGCTGCAACTTAAATATAGATCACGATATCTTTGATTCTATGTACTAGCGAGAGATATAAATACATAACAACTTGATCAACTAGTTAATTAATTATGCTATCACTTAGTTTAGCTTTAAACTGTAAGTTTAAAGAGTTTTAACAACGGCATTTAACAAACATTGTTGCCGTAGCTAACAGTAAATATATATAAATATTTTTTTTCTACAGATGGAAACCTAGTTTAAACAGATTTGTTTGTGTCTTGTGTTGTTGCATTTGCATTTGCCTCTGCTGGCGGCATGGTGAGCGCTATTTCTGGCGTATCGAGAGACTTCAGATGCTCCATTTCAATATCGGAACAGTTGTCAGAATTAGAGAGCGCCGAATCCATTGAGGTAATGGTCATGTCAACTGCTTTGTCACTACCACTTGGACTAGCTGCCAGCAGAGGCTTCTCCGCAGCAGGTTTCGAGTCGGAATTGGGTTCCTCGTCCCGGGGATGCGCCACGAAGCTGTTGCTATTGATGTCTTCGATGGCCTTGCGTAACTGTCAAGTAAACATTTTGGATCAGCTAATGGACGGTAAGTATTTCAGAGAGCAATTACCTCCTTGAGACCGACCACACCAACAAGACGTCCGATTTTTGTTACATACGCATGATTGATGCCCACCATAGAGAACAGCGAATGCACCTTGAGTATGGAGGTGCGTTCCACAAGTTGAAAGGGCGATGGATCTATATGTATCTGTGCCTTTTCTAGATCGATGGGTTTCTGCATTTCCTCCAGTTCCCATTGCTTCTGATCCTCTGGCGACATGTCTATAACACGTTCCCTTGGCTAGAACCGAGAAATGCATATAATTCAACATTTTTAGTTTAATTCTTAGTTATACGTATTTCGTTTATCGATGGATTTATCTATAAATATATACATACCAATTGCACTGACTTTGCCTTTTTTGTAATCGTGCTCTGTTTAATATGTTTTGATTTGTTTGTGCATTAAGAGATTTACATATATATAAATATATATATTTACAAGAACGGAGTACAATGCAAACAATAGAGAGAATAGAAATAGAAATAGTTTTGGGTTAAATGTCGGATATAGAAATAATTGATCGGTTAGTATGGATTACAATACAAGACACTGATTTAAGAGAAAGAGAAATACAAAATATACAGAGAACAAATCAGACTTACCGTCTGCTCGTCATCGTCATTAAACTTATCATCGTCATCTTCTATCGTATAACCCATTTCATTTGATTCTTGATTATCGGATAGCTTATCCAACGTACAGCCATGCAATGCCGAATCTTTAACTCTCACATCGCAGCTGAATTGAATTTTTTTCTTAACATTTCTTTGCTTATCTACGTGATTCTCGTTTAGAAGGGACACAGTAGCCGGTTCGTGGGTCTGTCTATTAATATCTGAAACTTTATTTGTTTTGTATTTAATGGAGGTCTTATCTGTATTCACATCGTTCAGCGGCATATTAATTGGCTTATACGAATCTGTTTTCTCTGTTATAGTCACATCTGTGTCATCCTTATCGGGCGGCATATTCAAAGCGTTACATATTTTATATTAATTTGCGATCAACAATATTAAATATAAATCTAAAACGTCGCGGAGATTGTTAAGCTTACTTATATATATATATATTATGTATACATATGTACATACATATGTATGTATGTACATATGCAGAAGCTACAAGCAGGCTAGGCAATATACTGAGGTCGAGTGAGTATTAGAGGTGATGCTGATACGGTACAGACACTCCCGAAAATTTATTAAAATGGTTAAATCAAAAAATTATTTCAAAATCTAAAAATTAACTTTATGTTTAAGAAATGCCCCAACCATTGTACTCAATCAAAAAAAAAAAAAAAAATTAATATTAAACAAGTGAATCTACCTATATAAAATATTTGAATTACAAATTTATAGTTGTTACCATTTTTTTGGCTGACTCCGATTTTGTAATAGGATTTACTTGCTTGCAGATATAGAAAGGGATAAGTGAAGGTGGACGGACACAGAGCGAGAAAGAGGTTCATCAGAATACCAAATAGTAAACGAATGCGTAGAGAAAAAGCGATGTAATTCTTATGTACTTACCAGCATGATCTGATCTGTGACAAAGTTCCAATTGTTTTGTGCTTGCTTGGAATGCAAATATATTTACAGAAATAAGCGCAACGGACAAAGTGAATTGAGGAGCCTAACTCCGTTAGTTATTAAGCACGAATAACCCCAGAATGCAAAATAGGAGCGTGTAGCGAGCAGGACTTACCAACTGAACCTTCTTGGATATGCCAGGTGTGCTGGGGGCACTGGGTGCACGTTGCCCTTGCACCTCATTGTTGCTTGCTGCCGGCGACATGGAGCCCATTTCCGGATCTGGCTGTACATCCTGCAGCGTGGTGGACTTCTTGAAGATGGCCTCGAATGCGGACCGTATACGAAACTCCGAATTGCCTGTTATCGTGGTGTACGGCGTAATGCTGGGACTGTGCGGCGAGGCGGGCGCGTAGGTCTTCAAGTTGAATGAGTTCGTCTTCTTCAATATGGACTTGCGTGGCGTTAAGGAGCTGTGTAGTGTCTCCGCCCGTTTCTTGGGCGGCAACATCTCATCGTTGGCTATCTGCCGCAGACTGAGTATGTCTGGGGCGGGCAGCACTTCGAAGCGTGAGGGCCGACGCTGTTTTAGCTCAGCTTCTTGTTTTTTCTTCTCCTCTTCGAGGGCGCGCTCTTCGGCCTCCTTTTGCCACTTTTGCGCCACCTCCATGCGCTTCTCCCGTCCAATATGCTTCTCAATTATCTTGATCAGCTCGTAGCGCTGCACAGAGCCGAGCAGTATCATATTCTCTGGACTGTCCACAAGCGGGAGGGAGCGCAGCGCCTTGTTGATCTTGAGCACCTCTTTGAGCTTTTGATAGGAGATACCATGCCAAATGTACTTCACGTCCCGCACCATGAAATCCTCCACAAAGATGCTGTACATGCCGGAACTAGATGGCAGCAGATCAGGCAAATACGGCAGCTTCTTAATCAGTATAATACTGTCGTAGATCGAGGGCTGCAGCAGCGATGCCACCGCATTGGCCACCAGCACGGCTATCATCACGGGCACAACGTGGGTTATCTGTCCGGTCATCTCAAAGATAATCACAGCCACGGATACCGTATGCGTCACAGAGCCGGAAAAGGCAGCTGCGCCGACAACGGCATAGCCACCTGGCATAATGGGTGACAATCGACCGCCGTAGCGCACGCCATGTGGAAACCAGGAGGCCATTAGTTCGCCCACCAAGCGACCAAATGCGGCGCCAATTTTAAATACAGGTATAAACATGCCCGATGGCACCGGGATCGTGGACGCTATGATGGAAAAGAAGAACTGCTTGCAACAACAAGAAATTCAATAAGTATTTGATGGCATAGAGAAGGAAACGCATTCACTTGCCGTGAAGATGGTAAAGATCACCAGGTTGGCAAAGACGCTCGTGTAGCTGGTCATCCAGTGCGTGACAACGGCAGCTTGCTCCACAGTCAGATCACTGCGCGACCAGGTGAAATTGCTGAACAACTGCGTTACCTGTTCGTGTGTGCTGAGCTCCCCGGCTAAAAACTGGCCTGTGCCTAGGGGAAATGAAATGCTAGAGACCAACAGCGCCAGAAAGCCGGGGTACAGAAAGCGACTAAACGAGAGAAAATCAAAAGAGTTTGAATTTGATTAACGATATCGATATTTGAATAATGTTCCCGCAACAATGGGTATCGGAGCAGTAACATAGGTAATCGATAAGTACTCACTTTTTCTGTAGAAATTTGTTCATGCGTTTGTTGGAGCGCATGAAAAGCACATATCGACGATGCACCCACACATAGGTGGCGCCACCTAAGCCGCAAACAAAGCTGTTGAAATGAAAATTTGAATTCAAAGATTAGATTGAAATGGCAATAGGCAACATATTGACTTACCCAATTAATGCAAACACAAACAGCTCTTGCGGATCGAAGGGAAATTCTGTGGTAAAATTGGTTAGGAATAGTGCGCGCACAGTATCCGCATTCTGGAACCACACAGCCAGCAGTCGAAAAACCGTTGCACCACACACGGCCGCAAAGAAACCGCGCCAATAATTGCGCACCGCAAAATACGTTGTGGTTACCTCAATACTAAACAGAACGCCTGCCAAATGGATCGATCCGTGTCTCAGCTTTTTAAAATTTTACTAAGTGGACTTTAGTACTCACCACCTACGGGCGCAGCAAAGCACGCGCCCACGCCGACGGCACAGGCAGCCGCCAGCATTTCAGAGTTACGGGACTCGTTCTCATATATGCCTTGGAATGATGTGACGAGTTTACTTAATAATTGTGCTACAATACTTGCTATATGTACGAAAGGACCCTAGAGACGGGGTTAGTTTTGTATATATTTTTTCGATTGTAGAGTTTTCCAAAATGTGTGAATGGGTGTGTGTGTGTGCATGTGGTTGTGTGTATGTGTGTGACTGTGTGGCTCAGTGGGTGTGCCATTAGCTGGCATCAATTTCTTATACTTACTTCCTTTCCTAATGGCATACCGCTGCCCAGAGTTGCCGTTAAACCAATTACCTTGGCCACTAATGTCTTAAATGTGAGATACTCTTTCAGCGCAACGCCGCGCAGTATGGTCTTCATTTCAGGTATACCGGAACCTATACATAGTCGAAGTTCAATAAAATGCAATATATATCTAGAATTTGCAATTAGCATGCGCTTAGTGCTCTGGTAAGTGAGTATATACAGCAATTAGTAAATTTGTTGTGCTCATTTATGGGGTAGTCAGTTTCGAGTATAATACATATAGACATTTAGTTGGAATAGTTCAGTTATTGGAGGTGCCAAGTGCGTTTGGTGCGGGCAGCTGCCGGATTGCAGTGGTACAGGGTTTTTATTAAATGCAAATGGGTATACTTCCATTGAAATTGTCTGTGTTTTTTAATTCTCCAACTGACATATATAAAGGTCTGCTTTAATATTTCGAATTATTATTTAGTTTTAAAAAATTATATAAATTTATTTGCATATGATTAGTTAAAGAAACCTATGGTAAACATCTTTTGCTTCGATATAATGTCTTGCTTTTCTTTTCGAATTCTAAACAACCATCGAAGTAAGTAAGTAAGTAAAAAAATTAATATTGTTTAGAGTTTTTTGTTTATTTTTGCTTTGGAAAACTCAAATAACTACGAGTTCTAAAACTACCAAACGATTTTAAAGTTAAAAAAAACCAAATATAAAAAAAAAATACTTAGGTGATAGAAAAACGTTTAATCTTACTTATGCACAACAAATACTTGACAATTTCTATATACCAACTGTTAGTAATAGTTAGTTAGATAATTAGTTCTGCACTTACCTATACTTTGCGGTGCGATGAGATGCACAAAGCCGGCTGAGAATAATATTAGACAGACCGGCAATGATACCCAAGCAATATACTGTATAAAGGGCTGTGAAGTAAGATCGCGATAGAGCCAAATACGAGCTAAAATTATATGTGACCAAGGATGTGTTCCAATAAGAATAGATATAGGAGATACAATGATTGTAAAGGTTGGCCATGGGCTTACCATTTGTACATATTGATATGCCCTTGTCCATGATAAAGGAGAGCAGGGCCATTATGATGCCCAGCAGAGCCAGGAATACCCAATCCTCGCCCAGCCGCGCCAATGTATGCTTCCATATCCATGATGAGATGCGTTTTATGCGCGTCGCTCGTTTGCCCAACAGTTCCTGTAAATATTTCCCAGCACTGCTGCTTTATAAACCGATGCGCTCAAAATGGTCTTAGCATACGTACATATACCACATGTGCATATATACATCTATATGTTTATTTAGATATTTAGTCGAACATTACATGTAGTAGTGTATGTAGCTACCACTGTCAATGGGATCTATTGGGATCTATGCCAAATTATTCTTGTGCAGACTCAAAATGGCGTTTGTGAATTTCATGAATGCAAGTAGTTTGCATAATTTCGATGTTAAGTGAATATATAGAGTATGTATATTGGAATTTGGTTGTCTATAAAAATTGTATGCTTTACCTTAAGTATTTATATATTGCTCAGTACGTTAGGCACGTTATAATATATAGATTGTCACATGTTTAATTTTTTAAAGAAATTATAAATTTATATACATATTCTCTTTGTTCTTATATTTAGAATTTACCTTATTTCTTTGTTTATCTTCTTGTTTTCTTCGCTTTTCGAGTAGTTTGAGTTTTCTGGCTTCATCTTTAGCAAATTCTCCTAGATCTTTCGTATAACGACCATACATCTGTGAATTAATAACAATTATAAGCACTCAAATGATATATTATATATTTTATTATACTTATTAGGCTTCGTTGAATGCCTCTTCAATTGTACAAAACAATGGAAATTAAATATAAATAAACGTTGTCCACCATCCTCCAAGAATACCAACCACTTACTAACGCATTCGTTTCACTTGTTGATCATTTTGGCAGCAGCCAAAGGTCCCATACATATAAATAACTTGAAAACTCTCGTCTTTTAAAATAAACCAAACAATACAAAAAGCGTGATCTAGCCAGCGGTGCTCGACTAGTAGATACCAGAAAAAATTATAAATATCTCGCTAAAAAAATCCACAATCTCATATGAGTGGCTTGAGTGAGTCGATCCCGAGATCTGAGATCTTAATACTCTATTATGCCATGTCGCAATATAAATGTATATTATAAGTTGTTATTCTCATCGCACATCATACCCTAGCTAGGCCCTTTACAAAATGTGCAGGGTATATAAAAAAGCCAATCAAAACAAAAATATGCATATAGATCAAAAATAAAATAAGAGAGCGCATATCTCATAAGTAACGAATTTTCGTCACAAAACGATTTTTATTTGCGGAAATTCCCATTTCATGGATGGAGAGCATAGCAACGAAAAAAGTCATAAAATTCGCATATTTTAAGAAATTGACAATGATTACGCAGATAAATGCTCTTAGACAAATATGTCTTTATATATGATTTAAAAAATATAAGAGAGCGTTTAATATAAGAGCAGTCTATTTGCGTGAGCTTGGAGATATAATAGAAAGAGAGGATATATGCATAGATGTATGTAATATGTGTGAAAAAAAATGTTATATATATATGGAAAGATTCAGCCAATTAGAAAAAAATTATTTTTGATTAATTTATAACAACTTATTCATGAAACATAAACTATAAAAAACTATTGGATGATAAACTGTTATATATTCTCTAAAACTCAATATTTGTAATATTATAATTTAAAGTCCATCCGTAGACCCCGAATGCCTTAACTAAAATTCATTGACAATGTGCAATCTGAAAGACGTGTACGAAAGGTCCCCAGCACATATGCCATGGTCAAAACAAAAGCCAAATAAATATAAATAATTAGGCATGCGACAAGAAAGAACATGAGAAAAGAAAATATCGTAAGAAAATATAAGAAATGCAACAAAAATAACATAGCAGAAGAACGAGCAACGTAGCTAATTTCCCAGAGGTCTGGGCGAAGGTCTCTTTAGCCTGGGAAAATACATATGTCTGCATTGGGTAGAGAAACATAGAATTTTGCAGTTTTTGCATAGCTTTTTGCTGTAAATAGATCTGGTTCACTGTACAGTACACACACTTAGAACTAGAGAGCTGAGAATGAGCTAAGCTGTTTTCGTATTCGAGTTTTTGAATATCCTTATATCAAAAATATGAATATTATTTAATATCGAACGTTATTTCTTTTTTTTTTTTAAATGTGAGCTAGTTCCATTCATTTGAAGTTCGGAATTTATTTACCGATATGTTCACAGAAATCAACGATTCAATTTCGAGCGCACAAGCTGCCCCAACGGTTGCAATTCTGATTCTGTTTCCCGATGTACACAAGAAGCATAATTAAAAAAAATAAATTATTTTATGCACTTTGCTGACTTATCATGGAACGGTTTCTGTTCCATGAACTGTTTTTGCAATGAAGGCACTCAGTATTTTAATTTATTTTCGTTGTCAAGTTCGAATTGAATTCTTTGTGTGTTAAATGGGAGCTGGTTCCACAAATGTATATTATTTAGTAATATTATCTTACATAGTAGAACGCCTCAATTTCAAACTCAATTTGATTCTTGTCATCGCTCTCTGTTTCAGCGGACTTGCGTTGCTGTTGTTGCTTCTGCTTCTGTTTGGCAATGGCCTCATCCCAGCGCAGGCGAACGGGAGTGGAGGGTGCTTTTTGGGCGCGCTGCTCCTCGCGCAGATACTCCTCGCGGTTGATCAGCAGCTCCGGCTCGAAGGCGTATTCGCGAATGTACTCATCCTGGTGAGTGCGACTGTTGTTGAACATGAAGCAAACCGAATTTGATTACGTTACGAATTTCGAATTTCGAATAGACGAATGCGATTTGTTTTCTGATCGTTCAATGTTAGATAGTATAGATAGTATTGATCTTATATATGTTGTTGATGTTGCTTTTGTTGCTGTTGTTGCTGTTGTTTTTGTTGTGCTGCGTGTCAGTCGGTTAGATCTGTATTACGGCCTTTGACATGCCTGTGGCTGTTGGCCGAATTTCTGTTTCGCATTTTGTTGCCAATTATTTTTAGTTTTTCAGCTTCTTCTTGCTGTTGATTTTTCACATTGCAAGTCGCCGTGATTACATGTCGCTGCCCTTGAGGCGCGCCCCGTCAACATTTGTAAATTTTATCGCAATTATTTTTAACATTTTTACAATCAGATTATATGGCAAAAGATTTCAGCACAATTCTCATCGGTGCTCAAATATCTATTAACACTGATTTATGCATATTCTCACTGGTTTTTATTTAAATTAATATCCACACAATAATTTGCAACGATTTTCCTTAGTATTTTCTATTGATTTTCACGCATTTGTCCGACACCGACGCTGCGTTCTAATCTTTGGGAAAACTTTTTTAAAACTAAAACGGACATGCTCGCGAGCTTTTCCGCTTGTTGAAAAATTATTGAAATTTTCTTTCGACCACACACTAGACGCTGTGCATTGCCCAGGGTTATCAGCTGCGCCCGAAAACTCTTAACATTGAATATAAACAATAAATTGTTAAAATGCTCTCAAATGTGTTTACCCATTGGTAAGAAGTTCAAGAACATGAAACATTTTCACAATTTCCTATAAATATTGATGAAGTTTGAAAAAAGAGCAACAGAGGTTTTTTTCATAGACTCTTCTTTTAGTTTATGATTTCCATTTAACAGTAAGAAAATTTGAAAATTTGTTAAAATACTTTTTTAAAAGAAGCTAAAGTATACCTGAATTATTTGTTTTCTTTGGCTAGCCTGGTTACCCTTTCGTTTGCAACCTACTACCTTCGACAGTGAAATAATTTCTTAACTTATAATAAACGCTAAATATTATTCATTATAATCCGATTAAAAATAGCAGCATATTTTTTGCACCTCTCTGCATTCTCATTCATTATTTTTCATTGCTTCTGCACATCGACTCGGAAAGGGAAAACACGCCAAACAAAAATATGCGAACTCTGTCGCTGTATACCCTAACATTCGACTGTAAGAGAAGCAGGGAAGGGTCTATACTCTTAGATTATTTTGATGATTCAATGTTTGACTTTCCTCTGTTCTGTTCTTTAAAGTTTTACTTTGTACGATTTTATCTATAATGTTCGGAAATTTTTAGTTGATTTATGGTTATTATGATTATATCAATTGTATTCTCCCTGTTGCTCTATCACTACGTCAGTATCATAATTGAACACATCAGACGTTGCCAAAGTGAGCAAGATCAATATAACTGATATATACGCAAGAGGCAGACAGATTGTTATTGAATTGCTGGGTGAATAGACCATTCATATCCGATATAAAGATAAGGCGCTGTTGGCGCTTCGGTTACCAGGTACACCTAGTTCAAGAAATCTTATCACTTCAGCGGATGGCTTACTTAAATAGATTAATACGAGTTAATCGATCGTTTACATCGATGCCTACTGGATGGCTATATAGAAATGTATATTGTGCTTACAAGTGTGTCGATATATCCAAACGGATCATCGTCATCGGATGAGTCAGAATCGGGTCCATTTTCGGCTGGTGGCGGACACGGATAGAATGCCTGCGATTTGATTTTCGGGTGTTTCTGGACATGACGCAGCTCCGTCTCCATGGATATGTTACTGTTACGTCTCTGGCGCAACTGACGAATGAACTTTTCAAAATCGGCCCACTCGGAGTCGACCAGTTCGACATTCTCTTCACCAAACTCTTCATCGTGTATGATACGTTCGACTTGCTGTTTGGTTTTGGCTTTGCCATTGCGATCACGATTATCGCGAGTGGCAAAGTACACCATGGCTGCTTGTGTCTGTGTATGTATATATCTGTGTGGGTGTGGGGTGAATATAGCTGAAGAGAGAGTAACGCGATATCGATACGACGCACGAGGTTAAAAACTAGTTAATCGATCGTGGCTATTGCCATGGCTTTGCGGGCCTTTGCAGGCCTTTGAGGGCTAACGAAATCCTCGCTTTGCTAAAGCAATGGCATTAATTAAGCGCTTCCCGTATCAACTCTGCACTGTTGCATCTGTGAGATAAAGTATCTTTAGCTGCGTGCGTCTCGCATCAAGTTTAGAACTGAACTGAATCTGCGGCAGACTCGTCTCGATATTGTTTCGCTTAAGCTCAAGATTCTACATAAAATGTGGCACAGAGTCTCAAGTGCTTAGAACCGACATGCACTTATCCCCTCCGTCTACTCACACACACACACACACACACAAGCACACACGCATACCAACACAAACAACCGCACTCAAGCGGTCAAAGTTTGTGTGTAAAACATCAATAAAATTTCATAAATTTAATAATTTGTGCCGCCTGGGCTAGAGCAAAAGTGAAAATGCCACGGCGCACAGTGGTGCAAAGGCTACGAAAACTGCTGACCAGCCACATTCTTGACTGCTTATTTCGCATATGTATTTATATATGCATATATGCATATCAATTATTTTTTGTTAATTTGCTTTACATCTTGCCCCACTGTGCCTTGTCACTTAAGCAGCTCAAATTGAGTCGACTTTTCGCCGACATCATCTTGCTTTAAACTCTTCAAGTGTTTTTTTTTTTTTTCAATATATGTACGTGTGTAGGTGGATTATGCACATGGCACCGAGTCACATGTCTGTGATTGTCTATGCGGCATTTTCTCAGATTCAAATGTATCTTTCTTCAGATTTATCTTTTTTTGTTGCTCTGTAAGTGTCGTGAGCCAGTGCAAAGTTTGGTTTTGATTGAATTGCTCAATTTAGTGCGACGCCTGTCCAAATGACGGCATTAATGATGTGCCTAACCCTAAATAGGTTGAATACTCTGTCGCAGATTATACTGGGTGATCAACAAGCGCGATGCAAACACCCAACATTGCTTATTCAATATAGATCCTACATTTGAGATTAGCAAATTATACGATCCAATGATCTTTAATCATTCAGTCCACGCGACAGTGCTGAAGTGGGTCGCTCAGTAAAGTGTCAAAAGCACAAAAATTGTAGAAACGGTGTGGAATATTCGAGAAAGTCATATAAAAGCACAGAAAGCAGAAGACAATACTTAGATAGATGGAGAGAGAGATAGGGGTCAAGAGAAAGAGTGAGAAAAAGCGAGCAAGGGAGAGGAGGGTATAAAAATAAAGATAGGGAGAGTGCAAATATACAGATGTAGAGGGAGAAAGAAAAGGGAAATATAGAGGAAGTCAACGAGAGAGAGAGAGAGAGAGAGAGAGAGAGAGAGAGAGAGAAAGAGAGAGAGAGAGAAACAGGGAGGGAGAAAAATATGATATAATATCGTTTACATATAATCTGATAATAATCTTATATGATGAATGAAATAATTTTGGAATTCGTTTCGAATTGTTTTCAAAATATTATCATTCATTTGTTTGTGTCTAAAAGTACTAATACTACTATTTTTGTTTAATGGAATATCACATTAAAATAGTATATGAATTAGGATTTTAAGTTTAAGTTTGTTAGTTCCAATATTATTATATTAATTCTATTCGCAAAATCTTTCTACGGCTGAAGATAAGAGAAGAGAATAAGATTGAGAAATGCCTAGAAAAATTGAGATTTTCGTCTAATAATTCCAGTTACCTTTGCGTCATATGGTGGGACGATAACTATTATCCCATTATATCAGTTTATTTCAATATCTGTACGCGCACATTCCCAGAATGACATCAATTCACATTAAGGGGGAAAATTGAATTGCTTGCCACTTCCATTACATCTATAAATCATTTTGTATATAAAACTTAGAGATTTACTTGCATAGTATACGTCCTATACGTAAATGGAGGATATATTAAATTTATTTAAACTTATAGTTCAAAATAATATTTAAGATATCTCTATTGTATTTCTCTATAGTATTGTATCTAATTTGTGAATTATTTATGTTGTTTGGAAACCAAATCAAAAATACATATTAATCAATTTATTAGAAACTGTTATACGAAACCAAAGGGTCACTTGCTTTTTAGGACGTATATCTTTTCGAATACTTAAGACAGCAACATTTTATTTTAAATTAAATGCTGCTTTCTTCGAATGATTACAAATCAAATATTTGTATATTCTGTATATTTTACAGAAATAAATTTCAATTTCAAAATATATTTTTTGTTTAACTAATATAAATTTTTGTAATTTTTTCAATAAATAAGTTGTATTTGTATATTTTTAGTGTCAACAAAACTTTAGCTTTAAATTTTCCGAATATTGGACAAACCTTAAGATTACTTTTTAACATGATTTTATTGTTTTTGAATTATAAGGAAACAAAAAAAGCCACAACCAACAACAGAGTAAAGTGAACTTGGCCACCATTCCAGGGCAACTGAAGATCATGGAAGATGTTTGGCCGCAGCCGTAGATTTCAGTGTTCAACAGCTTCCCAATCCCGATATTCGGGCCAAGATAAAGGCGTGAATAACGGCAGCAACAACAACACCTGTGCAAAAATTAATTAAAAATGTTAACAAATAACGTAATCGTGTAATATTTGCACAGATTCTCGAGATAAATTCAAAACTTATGTAAGTAGAATCAAGAATTCAATATTATCGCAAATGCAATTCACATTTATGGCCCGAGCCAACTGTTTGGTAGCGAAATAGCTGCCGACAGCTTTTAAGGCCCTGCAATAAAGCACATTGTTAATTGTATTAAACAATAAATCGACCATAAACATTCATAATCAATGAGTGCAGCCGCAAAATCAAATCGATTCGGATTTTACGCCTCAATCGTCGCCCCTCCTAAATCAAAGTGATTGCCGATAGGGAAGTTCTTTTGATTGATGATGATGGCTTACGGAGCCTAGGCCAGATAAGCCCCTATAATCAATGATCGAACAACTATAAAGTATTTAAAGAAATTAAAAATTCTAAAAATCTTTTAAGTAATCTATGTATAATAAGTAAAAGGGGTTCCCAAATTTGACTGTTATATAATTTTATGTGTTAATTGCAATTTTGTCACTCATACGCCGTGTTGTTCACAAAGTGCCCTTATTTGCTGTCTCTCCAGATGGACTCCGAACATTTTGATGTTATTGATTGTGAACCTCTAAAACCAAATAAAATATCGATATGATATACGATAAACCCACATATTTGATTAATTTTAATTTTTTCGATAAAAATTCTCTACTCTCCAATCAACTCAAGACAACTATTAACTATTAACATTATTTATACGGCTCGCAGTCATCATGTAGTATTCCTCATTTGATATAAAATAGAAATGTTGCACTTTGTGTAAACATTGAAAATGAATTTGAACAGCTTTGAAGCGCAATAAGAAACCTTTCATTAATACAATTGTCGGCAAGTTAAAAAGATTCCCAAGTAATACCCATATTAATGATATTGTCAACTGAAAACAGTTAGCGCATTTGGGAAACAATTGAATAGCAATTTGGATTTTCCTACTAATGTCAAAATAATAATAAATGAGCTACGGAAATAGCCGTTATCAACTAGGCTTAGGTAAAAAGTAAATAACGCATGAGCGAGTAATTAAAAATCCGATTTCAATTCCTTCTGAGTTAACATAAACAGAGTGGGTTCAGGGCATAAACACGAGCTACTTTTGTTTATTCATTAGGCGATAAATGCTAAATTGCAATCGTTGTGCTAAATCAATCAATCAACTCGATAGACGTTATAAAAGTATAAAATAATTTATGAATAACTTATGAGTAGCAAATTTTTGGACAAATTTTAATAAAAATCCGAAAAATATATACCTAACAAGAATGAAGATGAAATACCCTTTTCGTACTCATGTATAAAAATCGTTCTTTACTTTTACTAAATGTGCAAAAAGATTTTAAGAAATCTCAGGCCTTATCTTAAATAATATATACAAGTTATTATTCCTAGTTGGGATCCGTGTGAGCGCGTGCCAAAATCGTTAATCGCCAGAGAAGAGATCTCTGACAGCTTTCAAGAGCCGGCAGAGAGTTCTGTGTAAATGTTTGTTTTATACTTATGCTATTTTTGGCGACCAGCTCTCACATGCTAATTATTTCTTATCACACAACAAACGCTTAATCATAAGATTTCTAAAGCAAACAGATAAGCTGACGACCCACTCGCAGCATCCACATCAAAGCAACGCGCTAAGGTCAAACCACTTCAAAGGGAATTTGAATATAATTATTACTATATACTTAATTTGTCATGTCGATGATGCAAATTTATGTATATGTATATTTATATGTTTATTTAAGAATATTAGAATATGCACAAATACAGTCTGTATTTAATTATGGGTATATATAAGCATTATGGGTATATTGATCAGAGCAAGAGAAAGACCAAAACAAAAGCAGCGTAAAAATGCGACTGACTAGACAGAATACCTATATATTTAAATATACATACACTATAAGTATATACATCCTATATGTTTGGAATTCCGAAGATATGATACTTTTACTACTACAATATATTTAAAACGGTTGAATTATTTTGTTGCTGGGGGAACCCCTTGCCAAATTTAAATAAATATGACTTATACAAAAAATGAATATGTACATATATGAATATATATGATACGTCATGTCTAACCAACAGGTATGGCGAGAGAAACCCAGTTGGAGTACGCTCGTACACATGTGCGGCCATACATATTTGTCTTTGTTCAACTGGTTGTCTTGTTGGCCTAGCCTGCCAGATCATGTGTTCGATCTGTGTTCGTAAATCAGATCATATGATCTGGAAAGTCATGTGGTCGCGCATGGAAACCAAAATAAATAAGATTACAAATCTATATAGTCATATCTGTCGGGCATATAAAAAGTATACATAGCTCGACTGGGACAGAGATTAATAATGTGATTTTTGAGGTTCGAGGCTGTAAATACTAAAATATTTACCCTTTTTTTAATACATTGAAAAATGTCCAGTCAAATTAAAAAAATTAAATAAATATTTTAATTGATAAAAAATATAAACTATATTAAAAAATTTCACTTTTTGCATGAACTCACCAGAGTGTGTGTATAGCCCAGACCCTCCTCGGAACCATCCGGGCTCTTGTCGTGGTCGTGGTCGTGACCCATATTGAAGCGCAACGAGGACGCATTGGAGCACGTGCGCAGGGGCAGAGTGTGATTCGGCGAGGGCACGAGGAGCAGAGATTCGGGTCCATTTTTATTTGATTTTGTGTTTGAACTCTTGTTGAACATGTTGCAATATCACAATTAGATGCTGTTGCCTTGAATATTAATGTATTGTAACTGGAATTCCACTCTTTGCACTGATTTTCTTTTGTTTATGTATTTTTATTGGCGTTGTTTACTTTGGATTTGCATTCACTGTGCAGATTCACGTTTTGCTTTGTTTTTTCGCTCGCACTTTCTTTCCGCATTGCGTTTGACTCTGCTGTGGGCTCTGCGTATGCGTCACATGTGAAAATGAAATCAAATTCCTTTTGCTTGTGCATTAAATTCAATTAGCTGCACTTTTGTGTTGCACCAAGCGAGTCACAAGATCGACTTCCTTTGCAGCGGCAGAGATGCCAGCGCCAACGTCAACGGCAATGCCAACGCCACAGTCACAACACATCCCAAGCTCTGCCGCGATTCTCGATTGCAGAAAGTTGGGCGCACTTAGCGGGAGTGCAGCCAACGTCGCGACGCGTCGCGTCGTGCTCAGTCTCTTTTACACACACACACACAAACACACGCACTATTACATTAGCGAGCAAAAGCGAAAATGCGTTCAGTTTGCGGAGCAGCTGACTCCGACGGCGGCGTTGACAGCGCGTTTGTTGTTGTTGCTGCTGCTGGCGTCGCTGGTTACCGGTAAAAACCTTCACTTCTTATAGTTCTTCCTCTTCGTCTTCGGCTACGACTATTTGTTGCTGTTGTTGTTGCTATTGTTTGGCACTGCGATAGTGGGCGAGCTTGTGGGCGGGGTGTTCCGAGCTATGTGAAGTGGCGCACTTGAGTGTGTGACGGCTTAATTAGGCACGACGACAACAAAAGTTGTCAAATGTATCACAGTTTCATTATCAGTTCTATCTGTGCTATCTGCGCCCTGGATTAACGCCAAATACGGACAGAAATTAGCAACAATTATTTGTTTTTTTGCTTCTTCTTTTTGTTGTTTTGTTGTTTTTCCTGTCTGGAATTAATTAACTATGCCAATATATTATGGTCGTGTATTTATTGTTTTTGGCTGGAATGATACACAAATAAATAGCATATTGTAAATAACTGTATATGAGCTGCTTTATTAGCTAAGATAATTAAATTATGCATGAGCAAACATTATACCCACCCCCATTTACCGCACTCTCTCTCCGTCTCTCTCTTGCAGTTTACTAACACTAAACACCCAACGATCGCCCACACATGTAAATTAGCTGTGAATTGGGATGCAAAACAAGTTTTGTGCTTATTAGAGAGAGTGTGATAAAGAGTGAAAGAGAGAGAATGCCATATGATAAAGATTACATGCAGAGAGTGTGAATTAAGGAGAACATTGCTTTGAAGGCTGCTGCGATAATGCAGCGGTACACTTGTATTGGTGAAGTTTACACTATTGAACAGGATTAGCGAAGAGCAAAATATAGTTTACTATGCAAAATACAGTTTTCAGAACACTTACAAAATCTGGAGTATATTAATTTTACGTGTTGACAAATTCATTCGTAATACTAACTGTATTTTGGAAATCATCTGCTTATTTGTCTTCAAACTGTTTCATTTGCAAAAAATCGTAGGATACGAATCTTGTTGAGCAGTGTTAAAGCACTCTCTAATTACTCAAAATGAGATCGCCTGGCGTAGAGAAGAGCTGAGAAAATAAAACTCCAGTACATTTTTATCTTTGTGAATTATTTTGCTCTAGAGGGAGCTCACGAGGCCATTTCCCTACTAAATAGGCCGGCGATGGTCTTATCGTATAACAAAAACTGAGTAATCCAGAAATTTCAAAGCCAAGTGCCCAACTGGCTTTAATTTACAATCGCTGTATTGTAAAAATTAAAACAAACACTTGCAAGTTCGTGCCTACCTACGAAGATTTATTAAAATGCCTTAATCTTTTGTCAGCATTATGACGACAAATTCGAAAGATTTATGAAACAGGCGCAGAACACTTAGCAGTTATACGACGAGGGTAAATACACTTACATATGTCTAGCTCTGGCATTTGCATACAAAGTTCTTATTTGCGTTACAGCAGAAAATCAAGTGTAAAGCGGTTTTAGCCAGTTTGGATTTTTGATATTTTTTATATACTTGCACGTATTTTTTTCAATCCAACAGCGCGCTGATAATGAGCTGTAAACACTCAAATTTTATTCGATTTTTATTTTGCTTTCGAAGCTAATGTGAATTATTTATATATATATTTAACAAAAATTAAAAAACTGCATTATTCAAATCTGTGTCATTTGCATACTAACTATATGTATATATATATATATATATTTATATATACTTTTGCTTCTTTATGTTATTATTCACTCCATTCGGCTTATATTTCATTTTATGATACTGCGAAAATCCAACAAATTATTGTTGACTGTTTCAATTCTATAGATTTTATTTTTTTCACTTGACAAGGTGCTAAAAATAGTTTATGTATTTCATAAATATATTTTATGTAAATCATGCTGATTTCATTTTTAATTGTTTATTACTTTATTTACTTGCTTTTTATTGTAATCGTATTAACAGCCAGATTTGCGGTTAGTTTTTAGTCGATTAGTTGAGTGCGATCATTTTACGTTTCCTATTATGAGTGATCTATAATGGGAATGTCCGATAGGCATATAAAAGTGCCTGCTCAAGATTCAAGTTTATTTAATTTAAAAATTAAAAAGCTCTTCAAGATTTTTAACAATCTGTATGTTAAGCTGACTCTTGAGCCCTAACAAGTCCGCTTTACTAAACACTCATATGTAGAGTATTTTCTTTTTTTTTTTTTTTGAACCAGTTGAAAGTAGGAATTCAGGGTAGACTGATTTTGTTTTTGCTTTGCACAAGTTGAAGTGTTGGAATTTTCTAGTTTAAAAAAGATTGAGTGGAATGACATGACTTAGAAATGTTAAAAGACTTGTGTTTAATATTTAGTTGTAATTTAGATACACATTAATGGGCTTGCATGTCAATGTATATAAAATACAATCATTTAGATTTGTTCGAAATGATTTACACGGTACATAATTTACTGGTATTTAAATATAATTAAAATAACAACAATGAAGCCAATTGTGCGGGGTATAGAAAACTGTGCAAAGCTCGTAATTCGAAATCCCCTCTTCTGCACCACCCTTTGATCGCACCTGTGTCACCTGTTGAGCGCGTGTTTTAATTTGTTCATTTCTATTGTTGTTGCTGTTGCCCAAGACACTTGCTGTTGCTGTTGTTTTTGTTGTTGTTGTGAGTGCGCATATTCCGCTTGATTGACGCTTTGATTGATTCGGTTAATTTGCTTTGTTATGCTATTAGCCACGTTCACTTTGCGTATTAGCTGAAAGTTTCCCGAGCTGGCAGAGCGATTCTAGAGCAGCTCCGTTGTCAACGCCGCCGTTTCGCGTTCTGACATTGACTGCCGGTGTCGTCGTCGTCGTCGCCGGTGCTGCTAGCTCTGTTGCTGCTGCTGCTGCTGCTACTGCTGTTGCTGTTGTTGTTGCGGCTGTCATCGTTGTTGTTGTTGTTGTTGGGTAGTTTGGTTGCTGCCGGACCCGGTTATCACCTTCGGACAGTTCGGCAGCTCGTTCCGTTTCGATTGATGACGTTGCTGATCAGCTGATTTGCATTCGAGCAAATTTTGATACACCCATTGCCTCTCTGATTCGAATTGACTTCGAATTTCATTCGCGTTCGTCGGAAATTTCACTTCGCTCGTCGTGAAATTCGTATTGCTAAATTATTTATGTATGTTATTTGAGGTATTTTATACACATTAACTTAAGAATACATGTTCTTTTACTCCCATTTTTATAAATCTGGCGTACGTAATAAGAGAATGAATATATGTATTTTAATATATACATACATATATAGTAGCTCTAGACCTGTCCCAATGAAAAAATTTTCAGACTTTCGCATAGTTAAACAACTTGTTTTTGTTTAATGGGTGAAATTATTGGGGTTTTGTATAATGAAAAAATGTCGGGGATTTTTGTTATAGTTATTCCATTTAACAAACGGCATTCGAATTTAACCTAGATGAGTGTAACAATTCGCAAATTAATTTGCTGCCATAACTTCGATATATGCATATTATTTATATCTATACTAATTAATATCGAATCGCTATATTGCTGAATTGTCAGCAATATAGACTTGTGTAACAATTTTCAAATTAATTTGCTGCCATAAATTCGCTTTATTTCCATACTAACTGAAATCGAATCATCCGTTCTCAGCACATTAATTAACACCCCACACAAGGGCATAAAATCTTCGATATCCCAACTGATAATTGTGCTTTACAGCTACAATTATAGCTACTATCACCACCGATGCCATTACACCTACAGTTAATGATGCTACGATTAATTACATTTTTGCATATTAGTGCTCCGTATTCAGAATTATAATTCGTATAGTTAAATTTTACAGCTTGACCATATTTCTAAATGTTCCATATAGTCACATTTTCACGCTTGTTGTGTAAATTTCAATCATTTTTATTGTTATTATAATTGTCACATTAAATAATAGTACGTGCGTTTCATTCGGAGGAGAGACGATGCGCAAATATTTATTATTATGATTGATATATGTTAAATAGAATTTATAATAATAGACAACTTTAGGCAATTTTCAAGCAAAATTTTATTTAACATATTATAATAACATAAAAATTTTAAAAATAAATACTAATAATAATTTTGTAGAAAAAATAAAAATCTCTAAAAGACTATATATTAGCCCAACCAAAAACCCAAAATTCGTATTCAATATTTAAGAAATAAATATAAAATTTAGAATAAATATTTTATATTATGAATGTGAAAGAAATGATATATATTATAAATATCGACTACATAGTAAACTGATTTAATGTCCCGTAAACTGTCTATGTGAATCTTAAGCTTTACTCGTGCTGGATTATCGTGCTTTCACATATTTAAATATGAAATTGCTAACTTAAACACGATACGATTTGACTTATAAATTACGAGTACTTTCATAAATAAACTTTGCACACACGCCTCAACAATCAGATAAAGGCAAAAAAGTCAAACAATTGAGTTTGAGTTTTCGTCTGTTGTCGCATCGTGAAGCGCATAAATAACCTGGCAAATAGATATTGCTGATTAGAGCGTTATAATTTTTGGGTATATGTAAAGATGTTCATATCTCCTTCTTTTGTCACGTGAATTTATTATGCCCACCATTTAAAATGGCTGATAGTAATAAAACACCCAACCCACAAGAAAGAACAAAAGCAGATCTTCCAAGTGTGATCAGAATTTTGATAGACCTCTTTTTACGGTCTGGTATGTGACGGCATTATCTATTTCGGGTCTCGTACATATTTTATTGACATATAATTAGCGAAAATTATCATTGACGTTGTCGCTTAAGCGCAACTTATCTATCTGACATTACAGAGATACCAATAGTATACTTATTTAGGTAGAAGAAAGTGAAATGTGTTATGAGATCAATTTAATTTCGCTAACGTCAATTGGATTAAGATTGTATTTGTAATAGCGTAAAATTCCTAGAAATATGATTAATGCAATATATAATATATAGTGGAAATATGTCGACTGTACTAAGTATTAGCAATAAATACTTTATCATACATTATGTCTGGAATTTATATATATTTTAAATACACAACCACAACTATTATACTTCTAGTATATGTACACACACATACAGTAAGTATAAGTATGTATTTTAAAATATATATTTTTCAAACTAACAAAATTTTAATTTTAAAGCTAAGAAAAATTTGCATACATTACATTCTAATGTTGTTTCTTATATATTGGAGAGTAATCCACTTTTTTGTAATATTCTCTCTGACCGTAATATAGGGAATATCGCTCATGTTTTCCAACTGACATTCGTTTTAACACTTCCATTCATTAGAAGTAGATCTCGAAATATTATATATTTTATTTTGTGTTACATGGTAGCATATTTTTCCCTGCCTCATTTCTCACCTGGAGAGCGGATGGAAAAAACAATAACAGTCTATTTGAATTGACACTTTTTTTTTTGCCTTTTGCAATGTTAACGGCGCTACAATAAATAAACCGTATTTGCTTTAGATATTCCACATTATGTATGAGTATATACTTATTTCTACTGTATTAACAATTGTTTTTACTTGCGCTCGACCAATTTATGGGCGACGTTTAACGAAATTGCAATTTGTTTGCCCCTTCGCGTCGGCTTCCGTAGAATTTTAGAATTGCGGAATGCGCGCGCGATCGCCACAATAATGCAACTGCCGCGACGTTTGTTGACCAAGTCTACAGTATTGCATGTATGTGTATAGTATGATCTGTTGCTGATCTGGATTGCTATAGTATATATACCTATAATTGGTACTGTCTGGGAAATTGTACTTGCTTCGCCAAGTTGATCGTGCCACGATACTTTTCAATTGTGGGCAAATATTTATTTGAAAAAAAAAAAAGAATGCTTAGATGAGACCTAACATCAGGCTAGTATGATTTGGGCTTCGAAATATGAAAATTAATGAACTGATTCAGGCAGTAGTTTTTATATATTATATATACAAAGCAATACAATCCACATAAATATTGTATAGTACGAGTGCTACAAATTCAAGTCCTTATTTATATATAATTAGAACTTCTTCATATCGTATCATCACTCTAAATATTATACAATATGAATAAATGTACGTGTACTACTACATCTTATATCTATCTATAAGTTCAATCAAGACTATCATTAAATGCAAATTTATTTGTTGGTTTATAAATTTTATTGTATAATAGCTGTTTACAATTTTTTGTTGTTGTCATGTCAGGATCATTGATTCAGAAATTAAAATAAAATTGACATTTGTTTGTTCCTATTCCATTTGTCTTGTTATATTCCTACTTGAGGGACGGGGGCCGTCTAGATTGTAGATACATTTTTGCTTAAATTATTTAAAATATGCGTGTATGTGGGTGTGTGAGTGGTTTCATTAGAATTGAAACATCCCAATTCTTTTCACAAGCGACATGGTCTCTGCCCCTTGTGGTATCTGCTATGGTGCGTTCGATAGTTGTCCGCCGTTTAAATGTGGCCCACAAACTTATAAAATACTTGCGTTTACATTAACATATGAAAAATTATGGAATTAATGTAAAAGGAAGCGTTTAAATACGTCGAGAGAAGCCACCGCCACCTCCGGCACCACCACCACCGCCACCACCATTGCCAGCTCCAATGCCGACACCGCCACTGCCGCCTCCAACGCCCGAGCCGCCGCCACCGACATTAACACCGCCGCGAGTTTTGCCATCATAGAAGAGTTCAATATAGCGGGAGCCCATTTGCTCACGATGCCTCTTCATGGCCAACTGCGAATCATCATACGTGTCGAAGTAGGCGTCAGCGGTTCCACTGTGCAGGCCCTTCTTATTGTAGTTGATGCGCACGTTGGCCGGGCGTATGGGATCGAAGAACTGTCATATAAAATAAAGCATATTAGCTTGAAAGATCCGTACAGCTGTTCGGAGTTTAACACTCACCTTGAATACGTCATTTTCGAATGAATTATAGGGTAGTCCTCTCATATGAATGGTGTAATATTCCACATCATTGTTGCGACCCCCTCCAATGGGTCCGAAGTTGCCACCGGCCGATCCAAAGTTGCCACCATTGTTAAAGCCGCCGTTGTTAAAACCGCCGCCACCATTGTTGAAGCCGCCACCGCCGTTGTTAAAGCCACCAATACCATTATTGAAGCCGCCACCGCCACTGTTGAAGCCGCCACCACCGGAATTGTTGGGAAAGTTGCCGAAGCCGCCACCACCTCCGTTGAAGCCACCGCCGGAGTTGCCGCCATTGTTGAAACCACCGCCGCTGCCCCCATTGTTGAAGCCACCAACACCGCCTCCACTGTTAAAACCACCTCCGCCACCGCCACCTGAATTGTTGCCAAAATTACCAAAACCACCGCCGCTATTGCCAAAGTTTCCTGGCATATCTGAGAATAGACGACATTTTGACTCAGTTATTTAGAATTAGTTAATATAGTGAGTAACGAATTCTAAGAGCAGTGACTAGATTCAATTAAAACAAAATTGCACCGACACCGAATAGAGATTTGTGAGGGAGTCAAACGAAATAGCTGGGCCTAGATAAAGCTTAATTAATTTTCATAGATTTCAATTATTATGGCAATTAGAAATTAAATTAAACCAAAATGACCAGATAATTATTGAATTTATTGGAACTGCTCTGATTTTCCACAGATGTTTGTTCCGACTTACCGAAATTGTTGCCATTGTTGCTGCTGCGATTGTTTCCAAAATTGTTAAAATCGCCAAAATCGTTACCAAAATTGCCAAAATTACCGGCGTTTTGACCAAAATTGCCATTGTTGCCGCCTCCACCACCTCCGCCACCGGAGTTATTGCCAAAATTACCCGAGTTCATTAAACTGGGCAAATTGTTGAAGCCCAGCATATTATTGGCGCCCACACCAAAGTTGCTGTTGTTGCCCCAGTCTGCAAATAGAGAATGGTTCATTCAAACATTAGTCACTAATGCTATATATAAAATATCATTTATGATAGGAGTGAATCGGAGCAAGCAACAAATTAGTTTTATACAATTAAAAATAAATATGCTTTCAGCTGAGTTTGGACTGACCCATTTTAAGGGTCGCATGGTTCACACTTACCATTGCGTCCACCAAAGTCGTTTCCACCACGATTGGCACCGCGGTCGCGTATATCATATGGTCCTGGTCGTCCACCGACACCGCCGCCTGTGGCTCGCTTCATCTCAGCAATGGAGCTGCGGAATATCTCAATATACCTAGGAGCATTGAAAAAGAAAAAATCATAAAAGAACTTTAGTTCAAATAGTCTAGAGAATAAGAGACTTAATCAGTCAAGAGATTCAAATAGATAGAGAGGTTTACTATGGTTAAAAACATATTATTCCATATTATTATTCATGTTTATCCTTTACAAGAATAGACAATTGGATATAGGAATGTTAAATAGAAGCATGTATATAGCTTATCAAAGAATTTCTCTGGTTAATAAGGCGTTATCTGTTGTTCGTTTGCACCCATAGCCTGTGCTCTATATATAAACTAGATATATATGCACAATGTAATTGTTGCTCAAAACAATATATTTTTACTGAAATAGGAACGTATAAAAATTAGCATTTTGCTTTAATTTGCTGACAAGATTGCAACAATTTAAAGACATTTTAATTTTATTTATTCATGTTACCATTGAATGTATTTCGATGTTGTTGTTGTTGCTGTTGTAGTTGGTAAATAAATGATGTGTAAGAGACCCACCTGTGCCCAATTTTTTCCCGATTTCGGCCCAAGGCTTGTTCAGTGTCATCCTGGCTTTCGAACTGAACAAAAGCTTCCCCAGTTGCACGACCCCTTCTGTCCATAACAAAAAGTATGCCCTCCCGATCCGTTTTGATTTCCAACCCTGCCCATGACGATAACCAACAAAGATTTATACAAATATATAGTGATATATATATACATATATATATGTATTGCAAGGTTAACGATAGATACAGAGAAAGAAAGAGTGGGCGATATCAAAAATATATTTTTTGTTTTATAGAGAAGTGGTGCTTGTCTTATTTTTTGTTGTTGCTCACAAAGAACTTTTGAGAGTTCCTGGTAGGCCACCTAATTTGAAGGATGGCATTTTCAAAAATACATAAGCGAGAAACGACTTGGAAATAAATATTTTTGACTTGCAGACTGATTGTGCATTATTGTTAATAAATATTTATCAGATAAATAAATATAAGAAACAAAAAGCTAACATTATTATAGATTTAATCGATTGGAATATATTGGTTATATTAACAATCCTAAATACATTTATGAAATAAATGTTTGTACTGGGTTAGACAAAAACTAATGTTACGTGTGTGTGTAAAATGGAAATTTGATGGATAATGTATTGTTCTTGATGTGTGAGCATTTAACGACCCCTGGTCCTTGGATGCTAACACCCCAGACGTTTGGGTATACAACTTAGATGGAGCCCAAGACTAACAGTCAATTCATAGCTCAATGGTATAGAAATATACATATAAGTATAACATATATGTATATCTATTAAAATACATATATGAATATATAAATATAAATATGTTTTCACATGCATTGGAATCAGTGAGTTCTTCTCTGCCCGCTAAATTTATGCAAATCAAAACAGAGACTTGACGCCAGAATCAGGTAATGGTCTTACCGGTAAAGAACTCCTCGATCTGTTGTTCTGTGACAGCGTAGGGCAATCCACGTAGTTTCACAACAAAGGCATGACCATGACCGCCTGTTTTGCGCATAGCCTCTTTTGCCTCCTTGGGCGTTGCCACGAAGACTATAATTGCATAAGGATAACAATTTAATATCGTCTTAAGTTTAATTGTTGGTTTCGACGTACCCTCGATGTATCGATGACCCATACTAGCTTTATTTAGCTTTCGTGCTTCTTCGACATCCTCTTGGCTGGCAACTTCGACATAGGCTTCGCCTGTATTCTTGCCATCCAGTCGGCTTGTAACGAGATGAATGCCCTGCGATCCATTAAGCACTTCCACGTTAACCAAGAAGTCAAGAATCTCTTTGTGCGTTGCAGACCAGGGTAGACCGCGTAGTCTTATAAACTTGGGACTCTCGCCAACGCTTCCGATCTTCACATTTGAGTCGTCGTCGCCATCGTTTTGATCGTTATCGTATTGGTCGTCATCCTCTTGCTGCTGGTCATTGTCATCATTATAATCCTCGTTATTGTCCTGATTCTGATTGAAGCCTTGATTGTACTGCACATCTGTGTTCGACATGGTGCTGATTCAGATGGCGGCAACTCTGTCAATGAGGTAACCGGGAAGCGGAAGCACAAAAATACATAAACATAAATATATGCATACAAAAATTATATTTTAATATATTATTTACAGATGTATATACTTTATTACAATATTTGTTTGGCTCTTATGCCGCTACTTTTTGCTCATTCCTTTTTTGCACCGCTTACGCCATTTTGATTTTTTCCATTGCCGTAGTTTTATTTTTCAGACACGTTTATTACACGATTTACTGCTTTAATTATACAGCATTTTGTTACACTCATATGTTAAACGCATAACTTACCTATTTTGGGTATTTAGAATTTGTTACTAGTCTCCTAATTTAATTGTTTCGGCACTTTTCCACAATTTTTCTGTATAAAGAACAGCACGCGTCTGGATTAAAGTTGTATCGAATCATTCAGCTCGACGGAGCGATTCACACAACTGAGCGAACAAATTTTTGTTCATCTAGTTCATATCGTTTTGCTCTCATTTGTCACTGTTAAGTTAACAGCTACTAAAATTATTTATTTTATTGAAGCGGGATTGGCTTCTTTTCGCGATAAATATTGACGTGATATGTGTAAGCTAAAGCAATAATATGGTACCAATAATACGACATTATTAATAATACAAAAAAAAACTACTTGCATATTTAAATTTAACAGACCTATCGCTGTTATGATGTATTCAAGACTGTGTATCGATGTGTATAAATATCGAAGCCTTTTCCAATCGATGTTTCAGTGTAGGATAGAGTTCGGAAAAACTTACCAAAACAAAAATACTGTATATAACGGATATTAAAATGGTTGTTAACTATGTAGATGTGTTAATTTTACAAATCTTTTTTAATTGGATGAATGTGTTAGTAAATATCCCAGCGGCTATGAAAATAGTTTGAGTTTTGGCGCCAAAAGTGATCATGACAGTCGCTTTGGAGACTTTTTGTTGCCATGACGACCGGCGCGAAATTCGATTTCGGTGCGACTTTGTTTGTTCAATAAAGTTTTTGCATTGATTTTCATAGTCGTGCATAATAGCTGTGGGATAGAACGTTGAATTGCAAAAATAGTAAATTTATAAAATTATTTACATTTTGTTTTTTATTCTGTGAAATTATTGACAGCATGTTTGTGCAAAAGAAAAAATTGGTGGAACATGTTTTGGCAATGCGTGCGAATGCAGGCAGTGCTAGTGAGGACGAAGAAGAGGAGGAGGACGAAGGAGACATTTTACAGGTGCCAATTGAACGATTAAGCAAAACTAAACCAAACCCAACAACCAACTAACTAATTAACCAATTAGTGGGCAATTAAATTTGTCACAAAATTATTATAAATAACTATTGCTTCAGTACAAATTGTAATATTAACCTCTTAGCGCCTTGTACTCGTTGGCTGATTATGTAACCCTTTGACTGGTGTAAAAATCGAAAAAATTAATTTGTATATTACATTATAAGGTTATGCGCTGTAGTTGAACCGAGCTAATAAGGAATTTGGCTAACGTATTAGATACATATGTAAATAAATATATTTATATATACATATATAAAGCTGTCGATATTTGTCTGTATATATGTATATGTATATATAAATCAACCTATTATTATTATATATTTTATAATTTTGTTTCGAAACACATTTGTAATGCCATTTCCGGAATGCTCCACTCTCTTTGCAGAAAAAACTCGAATTTTCAATAACTAAAACTATAATTTAGCTATACACACAACAACCTTAAACAATAGATAATTGTTTGTTTTTTGAGACAACGTATATTATTATTCTTTTTTTTTCTAGCTGCACTTTTGAAGTAAGAGTTGAAAGTAAAAGCAAAAGTAAAAGTTGAAAGTAAAAGTTGAAAGTAAAAGTTGTTCTAGTTGTTGTTATGGCAAATCTTGCTGTAAGTAGTTTTGAATTTTGCATAAATATATTTACTTACTTTTGAACGCATTGCGGCACTTAATCTGCACAAAAAAAAAAAAAAAAAAAAAAAGAGAACAACACAATTATTTTTTAAACTAATATATTTTTGGTCTTTCCCCGTTTTTGAATTTTGGCGAAAAACTATAAATAAATAAACTTATATTCACAAAAAATAAAAAAATGTGTGAATAATATAACAATTTCTTTAAAATAAAAATATTAACTAAATAAATTATATTACAAAATATATGAAATAATAATAATAATAAATATGATGAAAAATAAATCGTATAAAAAATATTTATTTTATTAAAAATTGTTAATGACAAATTAAACACATAAATATAATTAATAAAAACATGAATAATATTCTGCGGCACCTGCTAAATTTTTACTGCGCGTTTTTTATGGTACTTCAACGGTTCAACGGATTGCATATCGGACAATATATATATGATCCATTTATTGGACCTTTCATAAAAACAAATAAAACTATGGCCATGGACCCGGACGAAGCGCAGCGTCGGCGCGAAGAATGCGAACGCAAAGCTCGCCGCGGGGAAATGGATCCTCGGTTGGAGTTCACCTTCCAACTGCTGATCGATGCGACGCAGCTGCCGCGGCATCAGCTCATGGATTATATATTCGAAGGGGATATGGTAGCGCATTTTAAACTAGCTTTAATGGCAACGAATCATATAGATTATTTTTATAAATTCGCAGCTCGATGAGATCAATCAGCTCTTTTTGCCGAATATGAAAAACAAGTTACTCTGGTTCTATCAAGAGGTGGATGAGCCGGAGCCGCAGCCCGTGGTGGATGCCAATAAGCCGGGACCGTCACGTACGGGCATGGCATCGAGTAGCTCAAAGACGCCACAGGGTATGCTAGCTCTATAATATATGCCCATATTCCCTAATCTAAATGATACGCCTGCTCTTTTAGGTGGCGCCTCGCCCAGCGGATTGCCTCCGCCCAAGCAGAAGAAACTATTTCTAACTGATGGCTGGACCTGCGCCTTTACTGGAGTCTGTATTTATATCTTTCGCGTGAATACGTCTAAGCAGCTGCCAGAGGAGGGCTTTCAAAAGGATTTGTAAGTGGCTGAAGTAATATATTCCCTGTTATTATTGCAAATGGGGTATATTCATTTACACTATGTGGCTCCAGTGTATATTCCCATCGGTTACGTTCGGTTTTTGCTTGCTCACTCCGACATCCAAGTCTGATCAATTATGTAGTTCAGCTGCAGATTTTTAAACAAATATAAATTGACTACTTACTGGGTATCATTAAGTCGTCTACTCTCGTTGTTTGTTTTTAGATTCAGTTTGCGCTTCTATTTATCTTTCATAAGTTTCACTTTTGTTGGCCAAATTCAAAAACTGTTATCTAAGAATAGCCAATTTAAGGTTTATTTGTTGGCACATGGATTATCGGGGATTTATGCAATGCACACACTTCCACACCCACACATATATAAATTCCCATCCACCCTGCTGGAGGGTATTGGTAATTGAATATTTTCGCCTGCCGTCTCGTTCATTCGAATAGATACTGTGGCGTCATCGATGCCAAGAATATTGGCCTGGTCACCTCCATCGAGCGCATTGTGGAGTTTGTGTTTATGCAGGCGTTGGCCTTCCCCAGCCTCGAGGGCGATGAGGAGGATGTGAGCTGCGGACTTATCAAGGGCCAGCTCTTGCCAGGTTTGCGATCCTTCTGCAGCGCGTTGCGTGTCTGCGAGCAGGTCTGTGATCATTATAACGTATTTGCCGATGGGTGCGACATGTTCGATGGCTGCGTTGTGGTCGATGAGGTGAAGGACATGGCCAAGAATCAGGAGTTTTGCGCACAGCTGGAGGAGCGTGTGAACAACTGGTCAAAGGGCATACTCAAGATTCTGGGCGAGAGCGAGCAGCTGCGCAAGGAGAACGATCACAGTGGACCCCAGGACGAACTGGAGTACTGGAAGAAGCGAGGCGCTCAATTCTCCCAACTGCTGGCTCACCTGCAGGACAAGGAAGTGCAGTTCACACTGCACTGTCTCTTCCTAGCCGGTTCGAGGATTATGCGCCAGTGGAAGGAAACCGATCGCAAAATAACCTTCTGCTACAACGAGGCGCGTGACAATTCCAAGTTCATCCAGGCCATGGAAACGTGTTGCCATTCGCTATATCTGGACGATCCGGTCAGCATGAAGGAGTCCATATTGAGTCTCTTGCAGACGGTGCGATTGATCTACAGTGTCTCCCAATTTTACAACACTTCGGAGCGGACTTCGGCGCTGATGGTTAAGGTAAGTGCAAGGACCTGAAATCGAATTCCTTTTGTTTTCGCACTATTTTTATATTTGTTAGTTAAAAATAATGTAAACTGAAATGCTTTTTGCATTTACTTAGGTGCACTTTTCTCAATCGCATTGCGTATTGAAATTGTTGTTCATGCTGCCATTCCTATTGGCCCTTACTTTGGCTGAAAACCTGTCAATTTGATTCAGGATGCCGCATTGATTGTTTTCCTGCGACCTTTGCGCTTCGAGTTTACTTACCTCTCGATATTGCCAAGGGACCACTGCGGCTTTCAGGATATTATTTGTCCGCTGACCTTTTGGTCTATTGTACGGACGTGTCAAATCAGTTATTTACAATAAATAATGAGATGGTTGGACGGTTGAGCACTCAAATAGCTGCTCAAAGCTCCAAATTGTAATAAATTTAGATATTGCAGTTTATTAATTCAAATACATTTTGAGGGGTTTGTTTTGTAATACAAAATTTGCCTTTTTCATGCCCTAATGAAAGTGCATAAATATAAATTATATAATTATAAAATTAAATTAATTATAAATTAAATATGAGAACTGCACTCTAAATGTAGAAGAATATTTTTAAATAAATATACACCAATAAGTATAATTAATTTCATGTGAATATATAATAAATCTAGAAAAATAAAATAAATAAAAAAGAAAAGTAAATAAATAATAAAGTAAATAATAATAAATAAAATAAAAAAAAAAAAAACAAATACATATACATATATAAATACGATCTTTTTAAACATATAATTTTGTAATAATAAATTTATAATAAATTTTATATTAATTATTAGTTTTATAATAATTATTTTTCATAGATAACAAATCAAATGATTGAGACATGCAAGTCCTACATCACTTGTCGCTGCAAGGAAACAATTTGGTCTCAAGATCGAACTCTTATACGCACCAAATTGAGCAACTGCATCAAACTGAATCATATTTACCATGAGACCTATTATACAGTCAGAGAGCAGCCATTTTTGCCGCATCAAACTCCATTTGGATTCTCCGAAAACTTTGTATTTGGTGGGTGAGCAAGAGTATTATAAATGAAAGGATATTTTAATTGTTTTTCTCTTTAGGCAAATTCGACACGTTCTGCGAGCGTTTGTCGAAAATTATAAATATGTTTAATCTGATTGACGATTACAATCATCTGTTTGAGCGCCGCTTGGAGGGTCTGCTGTTAGGCGAGGCCTTAGAGGATGCCTCCAATCACTTCGAGGAGGCCAAAAAGGAAATCACATCCAAGAAGTACGATTACCTGGATCATCGCAATGCAGATTTTAATGACGACTTCGATCGATTCATGAGCAAAACGGATTCGCTCAAGGATACGATTGCCACACTGATCGAGCGAGACTTTGACACGGTGTGGGAGACGCCTCAGTGCATTCGCTTTCTGGTGCGCTTCGAGAAGGTCAGCGAGAAGATACCGCTGACCCGCATGGACGAGAAGTACACTCGCATACTGCGCTATGTGGAGAAAGAGGTGGACCGCATACTGAAGACCTTTCGCCGGCAGCGCGATGATCCGCCTCTGGCTCGCAATTTTCCGCCCATGGCTGGGCGAATCCACTGGTGTCGCGCCTTGCGCTTGCATCTATCGGAGCTGATGGATGCCGTCATGGATCATGGAGTGCTCAGCACACTGCCCCTAGCCAGAGATCTGGATGTGCGCTTCAACAATGTGATGGGCGTCTTGCAGGAGTATGAGGATGAAATAGTCTCCATTTGGCTGGATCAGGACATAAGTGTGGCCGATGCCTGCCTGCTGCAGCCGCTGCTCTGTCTACAGGGCGATCGTTTGTTTGTCAACTTGCATCCCACAATTCCTCTGCTGATTCGCGAGGCCAAGATGCTGGCCAAGCTGAAAATCGAGCTGCCCATTGTGGCTGCCACGCTGATGAGTCGCCATCAGTATTTCATCACCATACAGGACTCGCTGAATGTAAGGCGAGCCAGCTTTAACTGCTCACAGTTCGTCTCTTACTTGTTAATTTTTTCCTATTTCCGTAGAGCCTTATCAAAATGTTTTTGTCCACGGTCAAGGCTGTCAAGCTGGAGGTGCGTCCCTTGTTCCTGCCCCAGCTGGTGCGTCTGACGGCCATGCTGAAGCCGGGTCTGCATACCATCAATGTAAGAGTCACAGTCTGCTCACTGACGCTCTCTGTCACTGACAATCGCACTTCCGTTGCGTTCCGTTCCGTTTTTTTCATGCAGTGGACCAACCAGAACTGGACTCAATTCTATGACCGCTGCAAGCAGGCCATTGAGACCTTCGAAGTGCTGGTGGCGCGCGTGCACGACATCTACTCGAATCGCATACTCAACGTGCTCATGTGGATGCAGGAGGTGTCGCTGCAGATATTGCCAGCAGGTGTGACCCCCCTTCTAATTGCTGGAGCCCACTTGGGTCTCTATTTAATTTTATGCTTTTCGAAAACTTTGCACATTTATTTCCTGCTGCAGACGATGAAATCTGGACAGTTGATGAATTTCTGGAGCGCAGCGAGGAGGCATGCAGGTAAATTTGTTACCTGCCAGCTATGAATATGTGTATATGCCAGTATGTATGTATGTGTGTGTGTGTGTGTGTGTGTGTGTGTGGTGTGTGTGTTTGTGGCATGTGGCAACAAGATTCGCTTGAACTTTGCCATCAAGTTAGCTGCCTGCGGTTGACTTTGCCAGCTTTTGTGTGATTTATTGAATTTATCAATTTTAATTTATGTATGAGATTTTTCATTTGCATAGATACAAAGCTTGATCTGCATATAAAGGAATGTGTGCGAGTATGTGTTGTTCTGTGCACCCCAGCTTCAACATTAATCAGACCAAATGCGATTTCATGTGCACACATCAAGTTTACCTAAGTATTCGTATTTGATTTGCTCTTCTATTAAGCATTATATCAGCAATTGCAACTGTCTAAATATTATTAAAATTCCTTTTGTCACCCACAGAAAAGCTGCCATCGAGCTCAATCGGAAAAGTCAGATGGTCTCGGAGGCAGTGGAGGAAGTTCTCAGTTTGGTAGACAAGGCAACGGAGACGTTTAAGGAGATTGCTGGCGATGATGTGGTTACCTTGTTCGACGGCAAGTCCTGCAATTGCTATGCAGCTCAACTCGATTCAATGTATGCAAATCTCTCTTCAATAGCCACGCCCAAGGGCGACCAGTCCGCATCGGGTGGACGCAAGGCGGAGGAAGGCGGTGCAGCTGGAGCTTCAACGGCGAATGCATCAGGTGGAGCTACATCGGGTGGAGGGGCTGGCGGTCAACAGCAGGACTGGAGCATTTTGTGGTCCTGTTTTGAGAATCCGCTGACGCTGTTATCCACCACAGACAGTCTGCCCAAGGGCATGCAGGTGGACGCAGAAATTGCTTAGCATATAGAGTAGCTAATATATTCCCGGTCTGCCTTAGGACATGGTCTGCAATGCTGTCGTCGAGATGCGCCGCTATTACAGCCGCAAGGTCATCGATGTGCTGATCAAGGTGATTCGCGCGGCCCTGGACACTCTGCGGCGTCGGTTCATCGCCGATGAGAATGAGACGGCATTGAAGAAGCCGATATTTGCATTGCACGCGCAGCTGCAGATACCCAATGTGGTGATCAAACCGAGTCTGGACGAGCTGCAGGACATTTTGGTGACGGCTGGCAAGAATATCACGGGCATTGCGAAGGGTGTGGCGCAGTGGACCAGCGGCAAGGATCCGCCGGTTCGTACCACACCGTTAAATAGCTTCGCAATGTTCTCAAAAATCTTGTCTTACCAACCGCAGCAAGTTTCGATGACGGTGCAGCCGCGCGTCGGACGCAATCACACGGATGCCGCTGGTGGCTCCAAGAATCGACGCCGCAAGATCTACTGCCTGGCCTCCGAGGAGCGACCCCAGATGCCGTACATGCTCAAGAGCTTCTACTCGGCCATCATGGACAACAAAGAGGTGGCTAAGGCACTCAATCAGCTCTCCAGCTGCACCAAGAACATTAAGCCCGAGATTCAAACCTACATCAAACGCTGGAAGCCGTATCACTTCCTATGGAAGAACGATCGCACCACACGCCAGCTGATGGAGTTTGGGCTGCAACAGTTCGAGTCCACATTGCGCTGCCTGGCGGAGCTGGATGCGAACCTTCTAATTGAGCCGGACATGGAGGTCTTCGGGCAGTGCGTAGCGGTCTATAATGAGAGGCTCAAGTATGGTTTGGCCATTGAGATCAAGTGTGAGTAGTCCAGCCGGGGTACATAATTGTATTGTAAATAATCTGTATATATTATGTGTAAATATAATTTGATAATAACATTGCTTATAGGGAACATTCAACTCATCAATATATACATATATAACTCATATGTGAAGTAAGAATAATGAATTGTACAAAGCTTATTGGAATCATTATAGTAGACATTAGAGTTTGATAAGCTTTTAATCCTATAACAAACAATAATTCCCATCTATAATATATACTTTTATAATCATATTACTTATAAAGAACATTCAATTCATCATAAGACCATATAAATCATATATGTAGTTCTTCAGATTGATTGTAGACATTATAGTATACATTACATTAACGTATAATCCCATAACAAATTATTTATCAAATGAAAATAATTGTCATATAACCTCATATTCATTATAGCTTATCGAGAACATTCAACTCAATATATAAATTTAACAGAAGGATTTTAGACATTATAGTAGACATTCGAGTTTTATTAACAAATTATATATCATCTGAAAATAATCCTCATATATTACATAAAAATTCATCATATATGAGCTAAAAGGTATATGTTCTATAGAGATACCATATCTTGATTTGACTGAAAAATGGAATTTGATTGTCTTATCCTATTACGTTTAGTAGTTAAACTTTATTTAAATTTAAGTATTAGTCCACTTCAAGTCTCCTTCCCACATATGCCTCCGACTTGTTTTGACAACTGGGTTATGTTAATTTGATTTCCTTTGGCAACACCTTAAACATTTATCAGTTTATTCGTCATAAATTTGACACCCACGCACACTAGCACCCTCACACAGACACACACACACACACACACACATTCAGCACACACACATATTGAGTCGTAGACAAATAGACCTTAGCAGTCAGCTATTCAAATTTATTGGTTTCCAATTAGGTAATCAAATTTATTTTGCCGCATTAGCTGTGCTGTAGGAAGCCCAAGCAAATAAATGTGGGTCCATGTTGCCACGTCTGGTTGCATGAATGCGAATTCAAATACGAGAGCGCAAATCAATTAGCCCCCTGCCAAGAGTTTTGCATTGATTAATGGCTTTCCTTATGCCCTAGCAAGGTGTAAACAGTTTTTGGCTCTGTTTCACTTTTCAGCCTGCAACCATAAAATTGGGCAAGCCATGAAGAAGAAATATAAGAAGGAAATGGACTATGTGTATGCGGTGATCAATGAGATGGATCGTAAACTGGACCGACCCATACGTGACCTGGACGATGTGCGCATGATAATGGAGACACTGAGTAAGATACGCGAACAGGAGGTGGACATGGAGCTGCGCATAGATCCCATTGAGGTGCGTTCCAAATGTGCCACGGCATCATAAGTTCTAGAAATTATTATTATTATTTTCTTTACTATATTCAGGAAGCCTTCAATGTGCTCACCCGGTATGAGGTGCAGGTGGAACGGGAACAATTCGATTTGGTGGACAATTTACGGACAACATTTCAGAACCTACTCTCTGCGGCGCTGCAGGCGCAGGTGAAACTGTTGGAAATGCAGCCGGCGTTCCAGGGTGACTTGCGCAGCAATCTAGACAACTTTAAGCAGGATAAGATTGCCTATGTGACGGAATATCGCACAGCGGGACCCATGCAGGCGGGTCTAACGCCGCGCGAGGCTTCCGACCGTCTGATACTGTTCCAGAATCGTTTCGAGGGCATGTGGCGCCGCCTGCAGACGTACCAAAGCGGCGAGGAACTCTTCGGTCTGCCACAAACTGATTATCCAGAGCTGGGCCAGATACGCAAGGAGCTCAATTTGCTGCAGAAGCTCTACAAGCTATACAATGATGTGATTGATAGGGTTAGCAGCTACTACGATATACCGTGGAACGAGGTCGACATTGAAGAGATTAACAATGAGCTAATGGAGTTCCAGAACCGTTGTCGCAAGCTACCCAAGGGCTTGAAGGAATGGCCCGCCTTCCATGCTCTGAAGAAGACCATCGACGATTTCAATGACATGTGTCCACTATTGGAGTTGATGGCGAATAAAGCCATGAAGCCACGCCATTGGCAACGGATCATGGATGTTACTCGCTACATCTTCGAGTTCGACTCGGAGGGTTTCTCGCTTAAGAACATACTGGAGGCGCCGCTGCTCAAGCACAAGGAGGACATCGAGGATATTTGCATCAGCGCCATGAAGGAGAAGGACATTGAGGCCAAGCTTAAGCAGGTGACCAACGAATGGTCTGTGCACGAGCTCCAATTCATGAGCTTCAACAATCGCGGCGAGCTGCTGCTGCGCGGCGACACAACAGCCGAGACCATTGGCCAGCTGGAGGATAGTCTAATGGTGCTCGGCTCATTGCTATCGAATCGCTATAATGCGCCCTTTCGCAAACAAATCCAGCAATGGGTCTACGATCTGTCCAATTCCAATGAAATACTGGAACGCTGGCTGCTTGTACAGAACATGTGGGTCTACCTCGAGGCTGTCTTCGTGGGCGGCGACATAGCCAAGCAGCTGCCCAAGGAGGCGAAGCGCTTCTCCAAAATCGACAAGTCCTGGCAGAAGATAATGCAGCGCGCTCACGAGACTCCAGGTAAGTCGATTGCAATATTTTTCCGCTAAAATATATATTTTAATATAAATTCTACTCAATTCCTCATTATAATGTGGCCTTTTCCTAAAATATTATTATATTACATATGCTTAAAATTTAATAAAAAATTCTAAAAACAGGCGTGGTGGCCTGCTGCGTGGGCGATGATCTGCTCAAGCAGCTGTTGCCACATCTTCAGGAGCAGCTAGAAATATGTCAGGTACTACCGATATAAATATACAAATGCCTGACGTGGATGTAGCCTTAAAACTTGTATTCGAGCAAATATTAAAATATTTATTTATTTTAATTGCCCTCCTTATGCAGAAATCCCTGAGCGGTTATTTAGAACGTAAGCGGATTATGTTTCCGCGCTTCTTCTTCGTCTCGGACCCAGCTCTGCTCGAGATACTTGGCCAGGGCTCCGATTCGCATACCATTCAGAACCACTTGCTAAACATCTTCGATAACACCAAATGCGTCAAGTATTACAAATTGAAGTGCAAGTGGAAATTTCTTTGGGATTGAATATGCCTGATTGCAGGTTCCATGACGTGGAGTACAACAAGATGATGGCGATCATTAGCAGCGAGGGCGAGATGATACAGCTGGATCGAGCCATACGAGCCGAGGGCTCGGTCGAGACATGGCTAACTCAATTGCTGGTCACAGCACAGCAGTCACTGCATTCCATCATACGCACAGCCTATGCGACAATAAACGACCCGAATTTCACGTTGTTGAGCTTCTTAGAGAAGGTGCCGGCACAGATTGGTTTATTGGGCATACAAATGATTTGGACGCGCGATGCAGAAATGGCTCTGATGCAGGCCAGGCATGAGAGGAAGGTCATGTCCGAGACAAACAACAAATTCCTTGAGATGCTCAACACGCTCATCGATCAGACGACTCGCAATCTGTCCAAGCGCGAGAGAACCAATTTCGAAACCTTGATTACCATCCATGTGCATCAGCGGGATATTTTTGATATACTGGTAGGGCATGACCGACTCTTAGGTATACCCTGCTGAAATATCTCGTCTACTTTGCAGTGTCGCATGAACATCAAATCCTCAAATGACTTCGAATGGCTAAAGCAATGCCGTTTTTACTTTAAAGAGGACTTGGACAAGACCTGGATATCTGTCACAGATGTCACATTCACCTACCAGAACGAATACCTGGGTTGCACAGATCGGCTGGTGATAACACCACTAACGGATCGGTAAGCCTTATTTATAATTATATACATTCCCCATCAACAACTTTACCGTTACTATTTAATGCAATTATGTGACCACGTTAAGCGCTTCAGATGGCTGCCTTTTAAATTGAATTAAATGGTTGCTCTTAAAATGTTATAAAGTCGACAGCTTGGTTAAGTTAATTTTAGCTTTAGCTAACTAAAAAAAGCTTTGGCTAATGGCACAAACTGTATTCTGTCATCCGCTTTTTGGATGGAGAAACTGTCTGGTGAAACCGCACATAGGGTTAACAAAGGGTGGGATAGAGAGGGACAGAGAGAAGGAGGGAGTTTTACAAACACTTCTCTCCCTCTACGAAAATGGCTTTTGCCAGAGTTGATGTTCTATAGTTGTAGAATAATATATATACATTTAATATAACTTATTACAGCCGCTATCGTAAGATATCAAATGTCAATATTTAGCCTAACTAACTAATCGATTTTGTTGTAAAACTTTCGCTTGGAACAGCAATTAAATTTCAGTCTCATTGCCAATGTCATAAGAACTTCAAGTTTAACTTCATTGTTTGTGAAACAGAAGTTAAGATAAATTAATTTATTGTATTTACATTCCACGTGGCACGTGCAAAAACTTTCACGCAGTCCAGCAATTGAGGCATTTCGGGCGTACGGCACAGGCCCCGCACAGTCCTCGCCCATTGACGTTGCCCAATTGCGCTGGCCAAACAAAACTCAAACATGGCCAACAAGCGCTGGTCGGCACTTGAACAAGTTCAAAGTCGATACGCAATGCCAACAGACAGTGGCAGCAACTGCGGCCACATTGAAATCCTTTCAACGGGGCTAGTGTACGGCGGACAGCCCACGCAGCCGGGCGACGGCGACGTCGTTGACATGCTCGAGAAGATAAATTTCACTTAGAAGAATATAAATAAAGTTTTCGACACCTAAACTGAACTCCCGGAAAGCTAACTGACGGCATATTTCATCAAACATCCCGAGGCAATTTTTGGCCAATACACTTTCAAAGGGCATCACGACTCTGCTGAAAGCAAACTTATGAAAGCTCTAGTCCATAAAAATAAAAACCTTAATTTGTTGTATAAGTAAATTAATGATTTTATATAGTTAGGTAAAGTACGGATTATTTATAAAGTATATTCATATACATATATCAAATATATCAGAACTACTTCTTATACCTTCGTAGGTAAAGTACGGATTATTTATAAATTATATTCATATACATATATCAAATATATCAGACCTACTTCTTATCCCATAGTCAGAAATTGCAAAAATGATCTAAATAATGCATCATTATCTTCATGTCTGAGAGGGTATTTGGAGTTTATGTCTTTGACATCAGCGTTCAGTTCGAACTTCCGTTTCTGCACTGTCTCCGACTTTTGCGTTGTTTATCATGCGAAGCATAGAGGCCTTGTTCTTTGCGAGTTATTGTAAATTTCACGCTTGCTTTGATATCGTGGCGGGGGAAATGCCAAGGGGAATACGTAGCTTAGCTCTTGGCTAACAGCACCTGCTTAAGCTAAATGGCAAGTGTTGTACGGCGTTAACGTAATTTGTCTTCATGCTAAGTTGCCAACTGTCTCTAAGGAAATCGTTGGCACTTAAATAATAGAAAATATTCCTAAGAAATGATAATGAAAAAGAATATTAATTTGTAGACTTTTGCATTTTAAATGCAATTTTCTACGGCTTTTCATAAGTAATCCTCTTTCACGCCCACTTCCAGTTGCTACATCACCTTAGCCCAGGCGCTGACACTCAGCATGGGCGGAGCGCCGTGTGGCCCGGCGGGCACGGGCAAAACGGAAACTGTAAAGGATATGGGCAAGACGCTGGCCAAGTATGTTGTCGTTTTTAATTGTTCCGATCAAATGGATTACAGGTAAGACAGGACTACAAACAAAAGACAGCTGGCACTTAAAATGCGGCCCACATCGGTGCGCAACAACTCATTCAATTTCGCGCTGCTCTCGCTGTTCCCTTTGTGCAGGGGCCTGGGTCGTATCTACAAAGGTCTGGCACAGTCCGGCAGCTGGGGCTGTTTCGACGAATTCAATCGCATCGAGCTGCCCGTGCTGTCCGTAGCGGCCCAACAGGTGGCCGTTGTCCTTACCGCCAAGAAGGAGAAAAAGAAGACTTTCCTCTTCACAGACGGCGACACCATCGAAATGAATCCCGAGTTCGGCATCTTCATAACCATGGTAAGCAACCTTTGACTCTAGATGAACATATTTTATTGCATACCCCAAGTGCCTAGTTAATGGCCCTGCTAATTCAACTAGCGCACTTTATCACGCTCTCAGCTCGTCGCAATTGCCATTTTCTCTAATGTACTTAACGCTAATTTCAATATACTTAGTAGCAATTTCTGTGTGTGAGTGTGTGTGCGTGTGTAGGTGTGTGAAACTCATATGAGACCCTTTTGATTAAAAATGCTCGTTTTGTCCTTTAAGCATGTGTGTACATTGTACAATATGAACAATGACCCGTGGGTCAATAAACAGCAAAGCTTTATTAGGCATAAATTCCTATATTAATATAAATGTTTATTATACCCGACAGACATTGGACGGTGTATAAGGGATATCATTAAGTCGAGCTAATTTCTTATTTATTTAAAAATTGTGAGATGCTTTAATAATGTGGTGAGTCAAGCGAGCTTCAAGGTTCGATATCTGAATTGAATTGGTTATATTTTAATTAATGAATGCCACACATTGCGAAGCGAAAATATAAATATGGAACAATTTGAAAATGCGATGTGAGGATACATATTTCGTACGTACGTCCAACGTACTTTTGCCGTCAAGCCAAATTTAAAAGCCAGACAAAAAATGCAATGCAGAAAAAATATAAACGGGTCAAAAAAAATTTGCGTCAAGCGCGAGGCTTTCAAGTCAAATTGATATTTATTAAATATACATATACGCACTCTTTTTTTGCGAAACACATATAAAATTTTTATAAAATTGTATAAAGAAGCGCCAGCCTGTAAAAAAGTAAAGCATAAAAAGCAAACACATTAAGGTCGCTTGGCGAATTGCTCGGGTGGATGGAAGGTGGGGCAAGGCGAGGGGGAAGTCAGGGGTTCAAAGTGACAGCAGCTTTTTGCAATGCCACGTTATTAGTCATGTAAAATTTTACTCAACTTAAGCGATAATTAAATTGACAGCTACACACACATACCCAGAGAGAGAGAGAGAGAGAGAGAGAGAGAGAGAGAGAGAGAGAGAGATAGCTGAGCATCCCATCTCTGACATCGCATATAAAATATGATTATTTCGGGCTTTTAGGCGAGAATGAATGGCTTATTAACAGGCAGCCAAAAAGGGCTGTCTAGTGCCGCATTTTAATTATCAGCCCACTGCCAACTATCAATATGTAATGCGATTAGCTGGCACACTCTTATACAATCTGCTGTGCCCTGCTCTGGCCAGCTCTGCTGCACGCACACGCGCACAGCCATTAGCACAGGTTTTTGTTTATGCCGGGCACTCGGGTCGTATGCGCAATTTTAATTTGCCCAACTGAATTATTGGGCGCGTTTATGTAACAGTTGCCGTCCCCTTTGGGACTGCATTTTGATTCTAATGAAACATTATATGACAGCAGAGTACCCATAAATACATCCACACACTCACACACATGCGCTTGCTGTTCCCGTTTATTGGCTAAATCCTTTGTTGTGGCTACTTTGCTTATTTCTATGCAGAAAAAAAGAGGAAATATAATGGGCAACCCCACAATAGCACGTTGTCGCAACTACCTTGCCACACCTTGCCAATTCACCGCCGCCCACATTCAACACATAGACTATGTTTACATTTGGATTAGCGTGCCACAAAATCGATTGGTTTATTTTCTTCTCATTTACCTTCATTTTTTGCTAGTTTCTGCCCGTATCAAATGTCCCCATAAATTGACAAATGGGTTCTTACTTTTTGTTAACATGCGACAGTTTTCGACGTTCTAATAAGTTGATTGCCTATCTAGATTATGTTTCCAGCATTTGTGTGAAATTACTTGCGATTAATTTGAAACGATTTGCTGGCAAGAAGCTTCCCCCAATTTGCAGTTCAGAGTCGTATTTAAGATTTTTATAGACCTTTGGAAAGAATTATTGAATCATATATATAAATTTTATCATTCTTTAATTTGTTGTTTATTTTTATTTAATTATATAAATTATATAAATCAACTTTATAAATAAGTGCTAATTATATAAATCTACTTTATAAATATGTGCTAATTTTAAGTACTATAAATATGCAAATTTAGCTTCTTTTAGTGCTAGTACTGGATATTTAACTCGTAAATTTGATGCTTTTACCATTGCAATGGTGCATTGCTTTACTTAAGTCTAGTTCTTGTTACTGAATATCTGTTTTTTAAGCATTAGCCATTATAATAGATTTTAAATATGAGTTTTATGAAATATTACATTTAATTTACATTTTATTCTCTATTATAATTTCATTTATTTTACTGAAAATAAATCTTTTGATTCGGCTTATATATATATATTTTAGGCAAAATATCTTCCTAGATGTTTTAAAAAAATATTCAATTTAATTTGTAAATTTTATGTTCTTTTACTTATTCTCTATTTAACTATCAGTAAATTTATCTCTTCTGCATATATATATATATATATATATATATATATATATATATATATATCATCACATCAGCTTACATATATGTATGTATATTGATATATAAATTGATGAAGTTTTCCTGGGGCACCTTTCAACCCACTTTAATTTGTGCAACTACATACATATGTATGTATATCACACACAACTCACCTTTTAAATTTCCACCGTAAAATTGTGAATTGCACACTAACACTCGCACACTAACTGTATTTTATTCACTGGCTGACTGCCTCGCTGTTGCTGACTGTGTGAATGAGGGGGGAGCACATGCACAGTGCGAGTAAGATAAATCAATTTGTATTTGATAAACTTATTGATATTTGCGAAGTCGCTTCCAAATGCGTCAAAATACACCGCCAGGTGGTTGAGTTATGTACGATGGCTGAGGTGACAGGGTGCCAGGGTAAAGGGTGCCGAGTGGATCCACTCTTGTGTGTGGGGTCCCATCGTAGTGACTGTGTGGTACACTCGTGCACAATATTTGCAAGCATTTATTATTTATTTACAGTCCACATGCAGAGAGCAATCGAAACATGTGTAAAGCGATTTGAAATGTTTACCCACAGAATCCTGGATATGCTGGTCGCAAGGAGCTGCCGGAGAACTTGAAAATTCAATTTCGCACGGTGGCCATGATGGTGCCTGATAGACAGATAATCATAAGAGTGAAATTGGCTAGTTGTGGATTTTTGGAGAACATCACCCTGGCCCGCAAATTCTATACTCTATACAAGCTGTGCGAGGAGCAGCTGACCAAACAAGTTCACTATGATTTCGGGCTGAGAAATATATTGTCCGTGTTGCGTACATTGGGCGCAGCCAAGCGCCGGAACTCTAAGGATAGCGAGAGTACGATTGTGATGCGGGTCCTGCGCGACATGAATCTCTCCAAGCTGATTGACGACGATGAGCCGCTCTTCATATCGCTGGTGTCGGACTTGTTTCCCAATCAGGTGAGCCACATATTCGGCTATAAGTAAAATGTTATAAAATCTAAACTTCATATTAAATCTACCACTCGAACAGACTCTCGAAAAGACCAACTACCCTGAATTGGAAGCAGCCATACTACAGCAAACGGAAGAGGCTAGTCTGGTCTACCATCCTCCATGGGTTCTAAAGCTAATACAGCTTTACGAGACGCAGAATGTGCGACACGGCATCATGACCCTAGGTCCGAGTGGGGCTGGCAAAAGTACCTGCATCCATACGCTAATGAAAGCCATGACCCAGATGGGCGATTATCATCGAGAGATGCGCATGAATCCGAAGGCTATAACAGCAGCTCAGATGTTCGGACGCCTCGATGTGGCAACGAATGACTGGACCGATGGCATCTTCTCGGCGCTGTGGCGCAAAACTCTAAAGCTGAAAGCTGGGGAGCACGTCTGGCTGGTGCTGGATGGTCCCGTGGACAGTATCTGGATAGAAAATTTGAACTCTGTGCTGGACGACAACAAGACCCTGACACTGGCCAATGGCGATCGACTGACCATGGCGCCCACGGTTAAGATCATTTTTGAGCCACACAACATTGATAATGCATCGCCGGCAACGGTTTCCCGTAATGGCATGGTTTACATGAGCTCCTCCGGCTTAGACTCGCGGCCTAGTAAGGATATTTAATGGCAATCATTTTCATCTATATTCACAGTCCCAAACCTTAGTTGTGCAGGCCTGGCTGAAAAATCGAGCTCCTGGCGAGAAGGCGATTTTCTCTCAACTCTTCGACCAGAACTTTGTCGAGGTCTATAACTGGGGTGCACAGAATGTGAAGCTACAAATGCCTGTGCTGCAGTGCAACATAGTGCAGCAGATGCTGTTTATATTGGAGGGACTGATCCCCACCAAAAAAGAGGATGAGCAGGCTGTGAGCTTGTCCAGCAAGGAGAGTCAAGATGGTAAGTTTAATACCGAAGCGAATTTAACCTATATAGCAGTTGTACCCATCCAAAACGATTCAATCATCAGCGGCCAAGCGCCTTGAGCAACAAAAACATAACGAAGAAGTGCGACGGCAATCAATTGGCAGTCAGATTGTCGGTAAAGTATACAAAATTCGTAATCTCCTTATAGATAAATGTAAAGTGTAAAACCTTTCTCGTAGAGCTAACATTCTAAAACCATAACTTATTGAAATTAATTTTTTGCTGATAAATCGCTTCTGTGTGTTTGTATTGAGCTGGAGCTGTAAAATCCATAATAATTCCTCTACTAAACCTAATTGCACCCAGTAAAATAGTCTATGTGTTTGTTCTGGGAAGGAAGCAAGCTTTTGTTAATGAAATCAAGCCTTGATTACGCTTGGAGTATATCTAGTATATCTAAAGTATTCAATATTAGACTCTTGTCTTATCGGGCACTGGATAATATTTGTAACAACTTGCTGTTCCTTCCCATCCTGTGTACGTCCAATGATGTAGTAGTCCCCATGTAAGCCTGTGTTCCCCACTGATTTCCTATAGTTTTGTACTAGATATATGTGTTTGTGTGTCTTTGTGTACCGAGTGGGATTTGTATATGTGGATATTGAGAGATCTTGGTTTTAATTTGACAGAAATTCCAGAGGAGAATGCCGTGGAGGAGAAGGAGGACACCTGTACGCCGGAGCATTTGCACCGCTTGTATGTATTCGCGCTGGCCTGGGGCCTGGGGGGTTATCTCTCGACTACAGATCGCGTTAAAATGAATCTGTTCGTTAAGGAAACGTTTCCGCAGTTGGACTACCCGAAGGGTAGCGCCCATGAGAATACAATATTTGACTTTTTCGTTTCTCCAACGGGCGTGTGGCAGTCGTGGAAGACGCTGGTCACGCCCTACATGTATCCGGAGCTTTCCACACCGGACTATTTAAGTATTCTGGTGCCCATTGTGGATAATGTGCGTATCGACTATCTGATCGGCACCATTGCCAATCAGGAGCGCGCCGTGATGGTCATCGGCGAACAGGGAACTGGCAAAACCGTCATCATGAAGAACTTCATGAAGAAAATGAACATTGAGACCTATATGGGAAGGTCATTCAATTTCTCATCGGCCACCAGTCCGTATCAGTTTCAGCGCACAATCGAAAGCTACGTGGAGAAGCGAGTTGGTGTTACGTTCGGACCACCCGGTGGTCGTAAGTTGATCGTCTTCATTGACGACATTAATTTGCCCGAGATCAATGAGTGGGGCGATCAGATAACCAACGAGATTGTGCGACAGTCGATGGACATGAAGGGCTTCTATAGCCTGGAGAAGCCGGGCGATTTCACCACCATTGTGGATGTACAATATGTGGCGGCCATGGGTCTGCCCGGCGGTGGACGCAATGACATCCCATCCCGTTTGAAGCGACAATTTTGTGTATTTAATTGCAATATTCCCGACAACGATTCCATTGATAAGATCTTCCGCGTTATCGGTGAGGGTCACTACAACGCCAAGCGCGGTTTTGTGCCCGAGGTTCGCAATCTGGTCAAGAAATTGATACTGGTGACACGGCATCTATGGCAGCGCACACGAGAAAAGCTATTGCCTACGCCAGCGAAATTCCACTACGTCTTTAGTTTGCGCGATCTGTCGCGCATCTGGCAGGGCATGGTTGGCACCTTATCCACAGTGATCACCGCGGAGAGCGTGCTCATGTCATTGTGGAAGCATGAGTGTACGCGTGTATTTGCCGATCGTTTTACCACATTCCAGGACAAGGAGTGGTTCGGCTCAGAGTTGGCAGCGCTAGTGCGCGAGGAGCTGGGTGAGTCCCATTCCCAAATGATAATACCGAATCCGGTATTTGTGGATTTCATGCGGGATGCCCCCGAGCCGACTGGCGAGGAGGGCGAGGACACTGATATGGAATTACCCAAGGTCTATGAACCGGTGAACTCTCATAACTCGTATGAAGCGCTACGCGAGCGTCTCGTTATGTTTCTCGCCCAATTCAATGAGATGGTGCGAGGCTCCGGAATGGATTTGGTTTTCTTCCCAGATGCAATGTTGCATTTGGTGAAGATCTCCCGCATCATTCGGCATCCGAGAGGCAACGTTATGCTAGTCGGGGTCGGAGGTTCTGGAAAACAGTCGCTGACGAAATTGGCATCCTTCATTGCCGGCTACAAGACATTCCAAATTGCGTTGACGCGTTCGTACAATGTGGCCAACTTTTTAGAGGACCTAAAGCTGCTCTATCGCACCTGCGGCGTTCAGGGCAAGGGCACAACCTTTCTCTTCACCGATATGGATATTAAAGAGGAAGGTTTCCTTGAGTATCTCAATAACATACTCTCGAGCGGCGTCATATCCAATCTCTTCTCGCGCGATGAGCAGGCCGAAATCGTGCAGGAATTGACGCCGGTCATGAAACGCGAGAATCAACGCAAAACAGCGACCCCGGAGAGTGTGATGGATTTCTTTTTGGCGCGCACCTGCACAAATTTGCACGTAGCTTTTTGTTTCTCACCTGTGGGAGAGACATTTAGATCGCGGGTGCAGCGCTTTCCCGCCTTGGTCTCCGGCTGCACCATCGATTGGCTGCATCCGTGGCCCAAGGACGCATTGGTCTCGGTTGCCAGACACTTTCTCAGCCACTTCGAGATTGAGTGTACACCGGCCGTTAAGGAAGAGCTGGTTAATGCGCTCGGCTCCATTCAGGACATTGTTGCGGAAACATCGCACGAATATTTCCAGCGTTTCCGTCGCGCCACTCACGTGACACCCAAGTCTTATCTGAACTTCATTGCCGGCTATAAGAACATTTACCAGCTCAAGCAGCAAGAGCTGCGAGATGGTGTGGAGAAGATGGATACGGGTTTGGAGAAACTGAAAGAGGCCTCCGCCTCGGTTGAGATTCTAAAAAAAGATCTGGTCGTCATGGAGGAAGAGCTAGTCGAAGCCTCCAAGAACGCCGAATCTGTGTTAGTCGAGGTCACTGAGCGTGCCATGCAAGCGGAGATAGTCAAGAATCAGGTGCTCATCGTCAAGGACAAGGCGGAGGCTCTCGTTGCCTGCATTGCCAACGAGAAGGCCTTGGCCGAGGAGAAGCTTGAGGCAGCGAAGCCTGCCTTAGAGGAGGCTGAGAATGCGCTGAATACCATCAAGCCAGCTCACATAGCCACCGTGCGTAAGTTAGGTCGTCCGCCGCATCTTATAATGCGCATCATGGACTGCGTGCTCATCCTGTTTAAACGCAAACTGCACCCCTGTATACCCGACTCGGGCACACCGTGTCCGAAACCCTCCTGGCAGGAGTCCCTAAAGGTCAGTCAGTTCTGCTTGTCCACTAATTTCCACTCCAGGCTATTCTCTGATTGCATCTAGATGATGGCCAGTGCCACGTTTCTGCTGCAACTGCAAAACTACCCAAAGGATACCATTAACGATGAGATGATAGATCTGCTACAGCCCTACTTCCGCATGGAGGACTATAACATGGACATGGCAAGACGTGTGTGCGGAGACGTTGCGGGTCTGCTCTCCTGGACCAAGGCAATGGGCTTCTTCCACAGCGTCAACAAGGAAGTGCTGCCCCTGAAGGCAAATCTCACGCTTCAGGAGGCGCGCCTTAAGGTACTTTAGGTAAACGAAAAGCTAGAGCTCGTAATTCGTAAATACTTTACCACAGCTTGCCATGGACGATCTGGCTGGAGCCGAAGAGCAGCTGCGGGAGCGCGAGGAGGCGCTACAGGCGGTCAAGGATCAGTACGACAAAGCCGTAGGCGAGAAGCAACGCCTCATGGATGCAGCCAATGTCTGTCTGCGCAAGATGACGGCAGCTACGGCGCTCATCAATGGCCTGTCGGATGAGAAGCATCGCTGGACCAACCAGAGCAAAGAATTCAAAATACAGCTGGGCAAGTTGGTGGGCGACGTGCTCTTAGCCACCGGATTTCTATCCTATTGCGGGCCGTATAATCAGGAATTTCGAGCTAATCTGATCAGGACGTGGATGGGCATACTCAAGCAGAAAAGCATTCCGTTTACCACAGGCCTCAACATCATCAATATGCTGGTGGACTCCTCGACGGTATCCGAGTGGACGCTCCAGGGTCTGCCCAATGATGATTTATCCGTGCAGAATGCGCTCATTGCGACCAAGTCGAGTAGCTATCCGCTGTTGGTGGATCCTCAGACACAGGGCAAGATCTGGATCAAGTGCAAGGAGGATCGCAATGAACTTCAGATAACCTCGCTGAATCACAAATACTTTCGCACACACCTGGAGGACTCGTTATCCCTGGGCAGACCGTTGCTTATAGAGGATGTGGGCATCGATCTGGATCCGGTCATCGACAATGTGCTAGAGAAGAACTTCATCAAGTCTGGCAGCATTGAAAAGGTGTTGGTGGGCGATAAGGAGTGCGATGTGATGCCTGGCTTCATGCTCTACATAACCACCAAGCTGCCCAATCCGGCCTTCAGTCCAGAGGTCAGCGCCAAGACATCAATCATCGATTTTACCGTAACCATGCGTGGCCTGGAAGATCAGCTGCTGGGACGCGTCATCCTAATGGAGAAATCCGACTTGGAAGCCGAGCGCGTGGCTCTCTTTGAGACGGTCATGCAAAATCAGCGCAACATGAAGGAGCTCGAAGCGAACCTCTTACTGCGCCTGAGCTCCTCGCAAGGCTCCCTAGTGGACGATGAGGCGCTCATCGAGGTGCTGCGTGTGACCAAAACCACGGCAGAGGAGGTCAACCAGAAGCTAAAGATCTCCGAGGTAACCGAACGCAAGATAATGAAGGCACGCGAGGAGTTCCGAGCGGTGGCCAAACGGGGCTCCATTCTGTACTTCCTCATTGTCGAGATGAGCAATGTGAATGCCATGTACCAGAACTCCCTCAAGCAGTTCCTCGTCATTTTCAACAACTCCATCACGAAGTCAACCAAGTCGAGCGTCACCGAGGAGCGCATTAACATTATCCTGCGTTACCTCACCTACGAGGTCTACAAGTTTACCAATCGCAGTCTGTACGAGCGGCACAAGCAGCTCTTCACCCTGATGCTGGCCATCAAGATTGACTACCACAATGGGAATATCAGCCATGAAGAGTTCTTAACGTTCATAAAAGGTGGTGCTTCGCTTGATTTGAACGCTGTGACGCCCAAGCCGTTCCGCTGGATATTGGACATTACCTGGCTGAATCTGGTGGAGATTAGCAAGCTGGAGACCTTCTCGACAGTGCTGCAGATCATCGAGCTGAACGAACGCGACTGGCGCAGTTGGTATGAGTGTGAGAAGCCGGAGAACGAGGAAATACCCTGCGGCTATAACTCCGTACTAGATAGCTTCCGCAAGCTGTTGCTAATACGGTCCTGGTGCCCGGACCGCACAATATCCCAGGCTAAGAAATATATAGAGGGTGAGCTTGAATGGTAATTGTAATGCAGGCAGTTCTAATTCTTGGTCACTACAGAATCTTTGGGGCCTGAGTACAGTGAGATGCAAATCCTGGATTTGGAGGCAACCTGGGCTGAATCCGAGCCACGTACGCCATTCGTCTGCCTGCTGTCCATTGGCTCAGATCCAACGACCCAAATCGGTGCATTGGCCAAGCAGAAGGGCATTAGTATGTGGGATAGGGCATTCCATTAAACCTTTTCACTTTATGCTTCTCTCTCTCACCAGCTCTCAAGTGCGTTTCCATGGGTCAGGGCCAGGAGTATCATGCCCGCAAAATGATCATGGAGTCGATGGCCCATGGCGGCTGGGTGTTGCTGCAAAATGTGCATCTATCGCTGCCCTTCTGCTCGGAGGTCATCGATATGCTGGTGGAGACGGAACACATTGATGACACCTTCCGCATGTGGGTCACGACAGAGCCGCACTCCGAATTTCCCATTGGCCTGCTCCAGATGGCGCTCAAGTTTACCAATGAGCCCCCACAGGGCATTCGAGCCAGTCTGAAGCGCAGCTATCAGGTGGGTGTGTCTGATAACACAGAAAAAAACTCTATTACATTTTATAAAATATTTTTATGACTAGAACATTTATAGCACAATTCTAAATCGCAATTTTATCTCTATCTATATATAAAATTTTCAGTTATTTATAAATATAGTATTGTTTTGCCTAAGGAATTTCTAAGAGTGTATTCAGTTAACTCCTTTCCTCTCATTTTTCTTTCGCAGTCGTTTACACAGGACTTTTTGGACTACACCTCAGCCACCCAGTGGCCCTCTCTGCTGTATACCGTTGCCTTTCTGCACACCATTGTCCAGGAGCGGCGCAAATTCGGCCCGCTCGGCTGGAATATACCCTATGAATTCAATCAGGCGGACTTTGCAGCCAGCGTACAGTTCATACAGAACCATTTGGACGAAATGGATCCCAAGAAGGGCGTCTCGTGGCAAACGCTGGTCTACATGATTGGCGAGGTGCAGTATGGTGGCCGAGTCACAGATGATTTCGACAAGCGCCTGCTGACCACGTTCACCTCAGTGTGGTTCTGCGAGCAGCTGCTGTCCAACACCTTTGAGTTCTACAAGGGCTACAAGGTGCCCAATACGAAGAGCCTGCAGGGTTTCATCGATTACATCAATAGTCTGCCCGCCTACGACACGCCCGAGGTGTTTGGATTACATTCAAATGCTGACATCACGTACCAGATTAACTCGGCCAAAGGTGAGCTTAAATTTAATTTTCTTCTCGGTTTTGGTTTTGGTTTTTCGATTATTTGCCGTTTCGCTCACATGAAACAATTGTTGAATTTCTGTGTCCAGGTCAATGACACAGCTCACTGAAGGACGAACAAATTGAAATGTTTTTTGGGGAATAGAAAATGAAATGAATGCGCTTTGCTATCTATTTAATTATATTTCAATATACATATAGGTGTGATGTTTCTGAATCTTGAATTGTGAAGAACTAAAATAAAATAGAAACTGGATATAGTAATATAATACTATACTGATATTGTGCTCAGGGTATTCTCTAGTCGAACACTCGATATATATGGCTCGTTCCTTTTATTTAACCATTTACATCTGAAGGCCTATTAATTAGCCGTATGACGTCAGAGCTTTATAAGCCAGTCAATAAATAAGATAAATGCTTCTGATTTAATACACAATTTGCATTTGAGCATGACTGTGTGTGCGTGTGTATGTGTATGTGTGTATGGTGTTGGCTGTGACCAACCAATAAATGAATTATATACGTTTTAGTTGCGGTTTTTGTGGCTGATTCTATTTCTGGAGCCCGAATGGTGTAACCAATCGGCAACCACGAATTTGCATAAGCGACAAACAGGCGACGCTTTGTACGTATATTTTGTGTACAGGGTATATACCTACCTAACCTATATGGATAGGTGCATTTTAAATAGCAAATAGCTGATTTTACAGAGTATTACAGAGTCTATAACTGCATCTTTTCACTTACCACTTTGCAGGCATACTTGACACCATCCTGAGTGTCCAGCCCAAAGAGGGCGGCGGGGGAGGCGGCGAGACCCGTGAGAGTATCGTCTATCAACTGGCCGAGGATATGCTGCGCAAGCTACCCGCCCAGTACAATGCGTACGAGGTGCGTGAGAATCTGACACGCATGGGCATCCTGCTGCCAATGAACATCTTTCTCAGGTGAATCAACGATGCCCGTGAAGGGGAGGAGGCGGTGGTGGCAGTGGTCTCCGCCTAGACTCGGTGTGATTAACCTATTTGTATACGTTTTTAGGCAGGAAATCGATCGCATGCAACGCGTCATCAAACGTGTCCACACGTGCCTCTGCGATCTGAAGCTGGCCATTGATGGTACTATTGTGATGAGTCCGGCACTGAAGGAGTCGCTGGACGCCATGTACGATGCCCGCATCCCGGAGACCTGGATGAAGGTGAGCGTGTGCATGTCTGCGTGTGAAATTAGAGCAGATTTTACGCACTAGCATTTGCTTTGCCCTTAACTGTGGCAATTTTTATGGTCTCTTAGGTGCTGGCCTCTTTATGTACGTACGAACGGGTCCCCCACAGCGAAACGTGGCCTAAAGTAATCTCAGCCCACCTTGGTTTTGCTTTTCTCCTTCCCTAGTATTTTTATTTTTTGTCTCACGAGATTTTTATCGGCCCACAAACACAAATTTGGTCCCAAAACTGGGCTGCTTTTATATAGTATGCTTATGTATTACATATATATTTATATATAAGTATGTATATAAAGAACCTCTGCTGGCTGGGAATGCCAAATTGTTGGCGCCTTTTCAATTGCCGCTTATAAAAGTTTGATTGATTTTGAGGGCTGGGATTCGGGTATGCAAAATTTATGCGTGTAAACGTTTGACGGCCCAGCGCACCTTCTTTAATTGACACGCGGGCCAAGACAAGGGCAGACGATGAGTTTATTTTTATTTTCGTTCAGTTTTATTTTTGGGGTATGAATAATAAGTATTGGCCAACTCAATTGGGTGTTTGAAATAAAACAGATAAGTTCCGCTATTTTTTATGATAGTCATGCAAGATCATTAACGATTTATCTTGCGGATTGTCTCTTCGAAATATCGAATTTATGTCAATTTATGATGTAGAAATTATTTAAAGAGTTTTTGCAGGTACAATATTTATTTATTTTATTCACTGATAGAATTACATCGCTTTCAAAATGAAATACGATTTCTAATCACTTTATAGTTGAAATTCATTCTAAAATTCAATGTACTTGTTAAATTTTAAGCAAATACTTGGATTATCAAATGACAAACGAAAAGCAAGCGTTGTATTACAGCTGACAACAAAAAACACTCGAACGGCATCAACATCACACAACACACACATTATAACAAATTCATACACAACTCGGGAAAGAACAGTTAAAAAAAAAAAAGAAAACGACTTACATAAGCGCACTTAAGACATTGATATATTCATAAGAATATATAAGAAGAAGACTCGATTGGCAATCATGTTGAGGAGTTCACCTCCTAAGGCTACATTCAAGGCGCAAAAAAGTCTAGGCTTTGACTCCAGCAATGTGAATGAAACTTCTCACATTCCATTGGAGGTGCGCGATTATGGATTTGTTAAAGTTACAAATGCAGGCACTCCGTATATTAAGAAAGACTCTCCAATTGACTCGAAATTGTTGATGGATCGTCTCAAATACACTCAAGGGAAAATGAATAGCAATATTGCTTTCGGGTTGGCCATGTCCTCGAGTGACAATGGGGATGATGTTTCTGACGAACTAATTATGGGTCAGCCGAAGCAGGAGATGACGTTTGAAATGAAACGAAAGCTGTTCCATATGGCTGAATTTACAATAACGAAAGGCAAGAAGATTAGCGATATGCACCATGCACGGAATGAGAGTAATCTGCCCAAGCATTCTACCCGGGAATCTCAGCTGAAAGCATTGAAAGACATGGAGGACTTCTGTCATGCTATGAACATTAAGATAAGCAAAGGCTTCGGTCATTAGATACCATACATGTTAGCACGTTAACGCATTATGCCAAATTTATAATCTTATAACCTTAGTCAATAAAGTCCTGCAAGCTCAATACTTTCTTAATGTGTGCCAATGTCAATGTCACTTTTATTCTTTAGATATCCTGGGAGTCTACAACGCTCGGCTTTTGGTACACTGAGCTGCTGGAGCGCAATGCCCAATTTCGTACCTGGATTTCGACGGATCGTCCAAGGGTAAGCACCTCTTACTCTCGTATTCGCCTGTCAACCTGTCCCAGACGCTTGACATAAGCCAACAAAAAAAAAAAAAAAAAAAAAAAATACCTTGGCAGGCAGACACGCTAATTGCTTAATACATTCTGCTGAAACGCCCATTTTATTATCGCTTTAACTCTTTCGTTACATTTTGCGTAAATTTGTCAACATAAAAAGGTGTTCTGGATGACGGGCTTCTTTAATCCACAAGGCTTCCTGACCGCCATGCGGCAGGTGAGTATTTGTTATGCCAACGGAATTAGAGAAAACTCTTGAATAACAACCAAGTGAAAATTGTATATATCTCAAAGTGAGTTTAGAGATCTGGGTTAGATTTTCTCTTAAGCTGGATTATAAACTGTCTCTCGTCGCTGGGAATTATTCTGAATAATTAACGCATACGTTGTTAAATAGTGTGTTACCCAAGGGAAATGATAAAAATTTCATTATAAAAACGTATTTTAGATATTTAATAGATGTCCATTTTGTAGTACCCTGTAAGGGATTTTGAGTATGAATCGGCTTTCGATTATGAATGTATACAAAATTATGCAATTCTAAGGAAGATATAAAAGAAGTTGACTAACTTAACTTAAGTACAGATACCAATTATATAATACTTATAATACTATATCAGACGTGCATTTTGTAAACTATGATTACCAACAACTATAAATACCCAACATTCCCATCATAACAATATTATTTTTCTAGCAATTTATTGACATTTTATATACATATGTTAAGATATTCACACATTCGTTCAATTATTTGAATTTCTCTTGCAACCATTTGTGGTGCTTATCGAACTGTTTCTACTGCTGCTGCTGCTCCTGCTGCTCTGGCATTGCGTATACGTCGCGTGTGATGGCTGAAATTGTCAGGAGGTAACACGAGCGCACAAAGGTTGGGCCCTCGACTCTGTTGTGCTGCAGAATCAAATAACGCGCTACAACAAGGAGGACATTACCGAGTATCCCACAGAGGGTGTATACGTGCATGGACTGTTTCTAGAAGGTAAGTACATGAGCCGGTGCCAGTACTGCCTGCCCTACCTCAACTTCTTTCAACTCAAGTGCTAGACCGCTGCCAATTGCTAGTTCGCATTCAGTGTCTCCTTTATATTTGTATATATTGCATATAATGTAACCGCAATTGCCATATTCAGATGTTTTCCTTACTCCTTAGTCCTTGCTCGTTGGTCTAGGTTCATGCCCCTTTGTTGACCCAACAAAGTGGACCTGGCTTGTTTGTGCGGTTTCTCTTTTTTCTCCCCTGCACCCGCCTACCTCTGTGTGATAATTTGAACGTTAAAGGCATAATTTGCATGTGGTGTGCTCCATCCTGCAGATCTTTGTTGTGGTCAGCTCTTGATTAGCTGTGGGAATGGAACACCAGCATTCGTGGAAGCTCCAAGTGCGCAGCTAAACGAAACTGTTTTGCATATTTGTCACATATTTTATATATAATATTTAAAATATGCCAAATTTGCCTTTTTATTTATTTTTGTCAAAAGGTTTTTGTGGTCTATACATAATTTCCCTCCACACTGATATATTTATTTAAAAATTTAAATATGTAATAATCTTTATATATTGAATAAATATTGTTAAGCTACATAATAATAATATTCATCAATCAATAGCCTTTCTGATGTGGTTACTGAAAACTTCTTGAGCTCACATATTTTGTATTCAATGGATTTGCCTGCTTTATACCTTCAATTGCTTTTCATTGTTATCTGAGGAGATAGATAAGTGCCAACGAGCGCGTCTCTAACGGCTGCTACGTGACGCAATAACCCAATTTCGAATATGGCAATAGAAAGGGAATGCATTCAAAGAGAAAGTCAACAAGACGCCAAGTGCAGCGTACAAATTAAATTACGTATACGCAGCGTGCCACACCTAAATTTGGACTTTTACTTATATATTCATGGAGAAAAGTTAGCTCGGTATAGGATGTGGACCAGGTGAAGCCATTTCTCTTGGGGGCTTCTATAGGCTTTGTGTCTGTCTATTAAAAGACGATAAGTTTGGCCCCCAGCTAATAAAAAGAAAATCAACATGCGTGGGCCCTAGCACATGTGCTGCGAGTGTAAGCTAAGTTTATGGGATGAACATATTTACATTGTCACAATTAGGTGGAATTTGTAGGCATGGCTTAAAGTTTAGCTTCTTACTTGATTTTTATTGCAGGTGCTTCGCTGGATCGCCGCAGCGGCAAGCTGATTGAGTCCAAAATGAAGGTGCTCTATGAACAAATGCCGGTTATCTACATATACGCCATCAACACGACTGCCGGCAAGGATCCCAAGCTGTACGAGTGTCCGATCTACAGGAAACCACAGCGCACAGACCTCAAGTACGTGGGCTCCATTGATTTTGAGACGGACTTCAATCCAAAGCACTGGACACTGCGCGGCGTAGCGCTGCTCTGTGACATTAAATAAATATGGAGTGGAACAACAACATGGACAACAAAATACACACACACCCATACATCCACTTGTTATTGTTTGCTTGGCTGTCAACTATTTTGTACGCGCTGCTTGGCCCTCGCAATGGCCCTCTGATAATTATCGTCTTCGGGAGTCCTGTTCTCGAAGGGGGCCAAGCCGCCTCTGTCTGTGGAGCGTCTCGTATAGTGCGTCAGAGATACTACAAGTTTATTAATTATATCCTCGAGTCATTCAAGTGGCGGCTCCCAGCGCACGTGCATCGTACACCATAATTAGCTGTTTGAACCATGTATAGAATTTCACTTAAGTGCGTTGTCCTCCGAAAATAAAATGTTCCTTGACTTATCTAGTAAATTTAAAATGAGCTTTTATTTTGGGAATGTCGCGGGCGAATAATCAACTTCTAACGAAACGACTTTTCTCAACTAACAATTTTTATATATGAATATTCCCTAGAGTTTGATAAAATATCAAGACTTTTGGAGTTGAATGCCATTTCAATATTTTTGTATTTTTTATTCATTGTTTTCATTAAAATAAATACATACAAGTGTAATCCATGTAATATATATATTTAAATATAATATTGAATATCGAATCATCTGATTCCATTTTTTGTTACTTTGATTCAGCTTTATTTATGAGAAAATCATTTATTTACATAGAGAAAATCAAATTGTTTCACATCGAATTCATTAATATACATAAGTTGTTTGTGTATGCAAGTGTATATGTATGTGTATTGATTCGTTCCATTGACAACGCATAGATTGTACATTTATATAGTATATCATGCATTTGTAGATAGTTAAATTGAATTAATTCGGGTAGGGTTGAGTAGCTCATCTACATTAAAATCGTTAGTCATATTTATATGATTTGCAACCATTTGTTTCTCTTCAATAAGTTTCCTAATTCTGCAATAATTTTCATATAGCTACAAAATATGTAAGAATGTAGACTGAACTGATATATGTTTGCTTCACTGCTCGTTACTTTTAGCTGAGCCAGTAAGTTTTCAGTGTCTGAGACTCTTAAATGATTTACATTATTGGAATGTCTTGAAAATTGTATACTATAAATATTTTGAGCATCTGAACTTGTTTATACGGGGAGGACGATATTTTTTTTTATTCATGAAAATAAATGTGAAAGAACTGATAACAAATTAGCATTCCGCCCGCGGATGATTTTTAACTATTTGATAATTTATATAAAGCTTAGCAAATAATTAGCAAAAATAATAAATTAATTAATTGATTGAAAATGGTGAAATATTGAATTAAAATTTGAAGCTTGCATGCACACATACATCATATAGCGATTTAGGTACATATGTATGTATACATATATACATATATATGAAGCGTGCATATTTCACTCTAAAAGATTTGCTTTTAAAAACTACACGTGTTTTAATTTTTGTATTTTTTATTAAACAACATTTTTCTGGCTTTTAACCAAATTCATATACATATACATATATATATATATATTTATTTATTTATCTTTTTTTTGTAGTATTTATATTATGTTTGTGTTTTTTTTTATAATTTTTTTTGCTAGTCAATAAATATAATTTGTTGAGTATCATTATTTTAGTGTTTAGGGAACGTTCGTTTCGAGTGGTTTGTGTTGCATATGCATCTGAGAGAGAGGTAGCATGAATCGTTACGTAAGCCATTTAGTTTCAATTCAAATAGTTAGTAGAGTGCGCGAGTTGTCGGTGTAAGCCATGTGTACATTTATAGGGTTGGTGGGGTGGTTGGGGTTCGTTTTCATCGGAGGGTTGCACACACAAAATGTCTGCCTTATAGCCAGCCATTAGGAACCGTCAATTTAGCAACTACGAACATCTAGTTAAAGTCTAAAGCTGTCTGTTGTAGCTGTAGCTTTAGCTGTATCTGTAGCTATAGCAGTATTTGTATCTGTATCTGTATCTGTGTGTTTATGTATCTGTATCTGTTTCATTAGCCTTGGCTGCTGACACTTAATTAGCATAGTGCGAAGCTTTGTGCATGCGATAGATGAGACGCCACGGCATTCGAGAATTTCCGTTAGCCGCTTCTAGCGACCTGTCCATATCATCCATGTGCTGCTCGCTGGCCCAGTTCATGTTGGGCTCATACAGCATTTCGTCTCGATCCTCGCCAGAGTTATCCAGTTCGTCCTCAGTAGACATCAGGTCTGTTGCGCTTTTGCGATGGCCGTTTTCATGATTTGTATCGTTTGCAATTTCATTTCCGTTTGACTGATGATGTTTGGCCACGCCCTCCTTGAGGGACTTGTCAAGCAGCAGCTGTTGCTGCTGCTCTTTTGCGGGTCGGTGTAGAAAATCAAAAAACCGTGACGCCGCTGAGGCCGTTGAGGGATCGGATGAACCAGCTGGGTTGCCACTGTAGCCCCACAGTTGACTGGGGAAATGCTGCTGCTGCAGCTGCTCGCGACGCAGCTGCTCTCGCTCCCGTTCCCGCTCTAGCTGCACCTGCTGCTGCTGCTGCTGTTGCTGCAGCAACTTGTGTCGCATGCTCCCCCACGGCGCTGGCTCCAGGAAAACACGTTTACCAACGTTCTTCAATATGGCCCGATTCAATTCGACCTGTGAGCATCAAGTGCAAAGTAAAGAGAGAAAACGCTTGGCATTAAAGGAAGTGAGCGCAGAACATGTCACGAGTAATTCGCAATGTGAGTCAGCCACAGCTCCTAAGAGATATGAACCTATATTAACCCTACAACCTCAACCCGTCTCTAGACACACGTATGGTTTATATGACATTCATATTTAATTTCTCAAACAGCCGATTTGATTTATGCTCAAGTTTAACACATTTTAATTTACATTTTTAACTCGATTCTGTTGGGTCATTTCCTGTCCCAACTAAACTCATTACATTTTAGTCTCCTGCAGATGTGGAAATAAATAAATGAAAAACCTCCTTTCTCGACTAAACTAGTTATATTTTAGTGTCATGCAAATAATATGTAAATAAATAAATGAGAGAGAGGTAATTCTAGAAAAATCTTTTTATAATAAGAAGACAGAATCTAGGTATAAAAAAAAAATTAAATATTATAACTAAGAACTACTTTCTGTTATATGATTATCAATCGATATTAATCGATCTTTGGTATAAGATATCCCTAGTTTATAATTAAGTTTCTATTTTAATACATCGATATTTTTCGTCTTATACGGAAATTCATTTAAATAATATAATCCCTTTGTAAGACAAAATCAATGCCCATAATTGCAAAGATAATTGCATTGCTACTATAATTGTATTATCAATCATGCTTATCAGAAAACGATGTGCAGCCAGTTGTCGGAATACCCATTTCAATGGGTTTCCAAAATAAACCTATAGAACAGAGCTTCACTTGCGGAACTGTGGTGTGTTTTAGATATCACCCAATTTAGTCACAGTTTGGGAAATTCCTTGGACTGTTTACCGAAGATAAGACAGTACGCGTCAGTACGCATCATTGGGAATTTTTCATTTTCAATTATTGTTGCCTTATAAAAGACACAAAAACCATGGACTGGTCAAACAGTTGGGATCTCACAACCTAGCAATGAAAGTTCTAACATTTGTAGTACTAATAGGGAGCCTTCTTGTGGCTTTGGCTACAGCAAAGCCACAAGGATATCACCATGGAGGCATTGAACACCAAAGATGGCCATATGAAGCGAGCAATGATCAGCAGAAAATGGGTCAACGACCGATGACTGTTGAGGGCTCTCATGGTAAGTGTCTGATAATCTCTGCGGATATTCATATATTTTACACGAGAGTCGAACTATTTTTGAAATTCTGCTATATTTTCTAGATCGTCCTGACGAGCTTCCAGGTAGTGGACAGCGTCCTCCCTATAACCACGAACTAAGTCCGTTCGGCGGTCAACGTTCTCAGCCCGATCAGCGTCGTCCCTATAACCGCGAGCAAGGTTTATTCAATGGACAGCAATCGCAAGGTTCATCCAATGGACAGCAATACCAACCCGATCAGCGTTCCCCCTATAACCAGAAGCAAGGTTCATTCAATGGACAACAATCGCAAGGTTCATCCAATGGACAGCAATCGCAAGATTCATCCAATGGATGGCAATCCGAATCCGGATTGTCCAATGGACAGCAATCGCAAGATTCATCCAATGGATGGCAATCCGAATCCGGATTGTCCAATGGACAGCAATCGCAAGATTCATCCAATGGACAGCAGTTCCAGCCCTATCAGCGTTCTCCCTATAGCCGCAAGCAAGGTTCATCCAATGGACAACAATCGCAAGGTTCATCCAATGGACAGCAATCGCAAGGTTCATCCAATGGACAGCAATACCAACCCGATCAGCGTTCTCCCTATAACCAGAAGCAAGGTTCATTCAATGGACAACAATCGCAAGGTTCATCCAATGGACAGCAATCGCAAGATTCATCCAATGGATGGCAATCCGAATCCGGATTGTCCAATGGACAGCAATCGCAAGATTCATCCAATGGATGGCAATCCGAATCTGGATTGTCCAATGGACAGCAATCGCAAGGTTCATCCAATGGACAGCAATACCAACCCGATCAGCGTTCTCCCTATAACCAGAAGCAAGGTTCATTCAATGGACAACAATCGCAAAGTTCATCCAATGGACAGCAATCGCAAGGTTCATCCAATGGACAGCAATACCAACCCGATCAGCGTTCTCCCTATAACCAGAAGCAAGGTTCATTCAATGGACAACAATCGCAAGGTTCATCCAATGGACAGCAATCGCAAGATTCATCCAATGGATGGCAATCCGAATCCGGATTGTCCAATGGACAGCAATCGCAAGATTCATCCAATGGACAGCAGTTCCAGCCCTATCAGCGTTCTCCCTATAGCCGCAAGCAAGGTTCATCCAATGGACAGCAATCCCAACCCGATCAGCGTTCGCCCTATAACCAGAAGCAAGGTTCATTCAATGGACAACAATCGCAAGGTTCATCCAATGGACAGCAATCGCAAGATTCATCCAATGGATGGCAATCCGAATCTGGATTGTCCAATGGACAGCAATCGCAAGATTCATCCAATGGACAGCAGTTCCAGCCCTATCAGCGTTCTCCCTATAGCCGCGAGCAAGGTTCATCCAATGGACAGCAATCGCAAGATTCATCCAATGGATGGCAATCCGAATCCGAATTGTCCAATGGACAGCAATCGCAAGATTCATCCAATGGACAGCAGTTCCAGCCCTATCAGCGTTCTCCCTATAGCCGCAAGCAAGGTTCATCCAATGGACAGCAATCCCAACCCGATCAGCGTTCTCCCTATAACCAAGAGCAATCCCAACCTGGTCAGCATCCTAAGTATAACCACGAGCAAGGCTCATTCAATAGGCAACAATTTCGGCTGTATTTTCTAGGTCGTACTGACAAGCGTCCACACAGTGTACAGCGTATTCCATATGACCACGAGCTAAGTCCGTTCGGTGGTCAACGTCCTGAGTCCCATCAGCGACCTCACTATAACCACGAGCAAGGTTCATCCAACGGACAAGAACTTCAACCCGATCAGCGTCCATCACATGCGCACCATCGTCATCATGATGGCATAACTTTTGAGCCTGAACTGTCGACTACAGTCGAGCCTGAAGAGTCGACTACAGTCGAGCCTGAAGAGTCGACCACTGTCGAGCCTGAAGAGTCGACCACAATCGAGCCCGAAGAGTCGACCACAGCCGAGCCTGAGGAATAGATGACCCTGGAGCCAGAGGAAGGTACCACATTATAGAAAGGTAAACACTTTCTATTGCATATGAAAATATATTTGTATTGAATTGAGTATTCTATTAAAGTGTTGGTAGACAAGCACATAAATCTTCAGTTTTCTGTTCTACACTCTTTCGTTGCCCAAGCCCAATTGTGCGTATGCACTCGACATCTTTCCTTTAACGGCTCGCATTCATGCAGCAATTTATAATATCCCTTTGACAAATCAATACGTGTGCCTTGACATGTGTAAATGGAGCACACAATTTCTTGCGACCCGCTCGCATCTGCAAGCGAAGAATCCGCGTTAGTCGAGAGGCACCCAAGGGCCAAATCATTTGAATTCCTGCCATTAAATCGTTTGATTTTTTTTTATTCGCCACAATTTACCTAACGCCGTGGGCTGCATCAACATTTAGGTAGCCAAATAAATTTTACTTTGTTGCCAGGGCGAAATATTTTTCGTATTACGCATACGACACGTTGGCTTCCCTTTTAACGTACAGAGAAAGGATTTCCTAAGCCTTTGCCTGTTTAGCTGCCAACCATCCTTAAGCTTCTGAGGCCTTTTTTATATACCCTGTGCATGCCAACTGATTGAGAAAGGGTGTTTGAGAAAACAATTTTATGAGTATAAACAGATAATAGCATTTTACCAATAGTTTAGTATATCCAATGATAATAAATAGAAAATGTAAAACGTATTCAGTTTTTAAAGTCGACTTTATTAGAGGTCATTCATATGTTCGGCATACCCATTTGAACAGATTCGTTCCGCTAACCTTTGATATCTACCGCAGTGTTATTTACATGTCTACCCAATGCGGGTCTGTCAATACCTAGCGATAAGAATCGCCTTTGGGCTATTGTCTGACAAATGGGCAGCAGCGTGGCCAGATACGGGCAGCAAAGGAAAGGGGATGCTGGAAACCTGACTTTTGCCAGCCAGGCATTTGGCGTTTGTTTAACAAAAAATAAAAACACATTCTTCCCTTTCAGTTGGCTGGCAAATTAAAAAAGTTATCGCAAGCGATGTGCATTTCATGGACTTTGAAGTTGCTGTCCAACTTGCTCTTCCATTTGCAACTCTAATTTTGATTAGTTGCAACAATTTTCCATCTACATTGAATCGCACTCTCAAATGAAAATCGCATATTGCCCAGGCATTTCTTTTGTTTATCTTGCGAGCTGAACAAAACATTAATGAAAAGTTTTTCAGTGCTCATTTGCGCTTATTAAAAATACCAAGTCGGACAATGAATACCCTCCGGCCACCTGTACGCTTCGCTCACCTGCCGAGTGTTCTCCTTCATCTGTCTGCGCGCAATCTCCAGGAGCAGCCGCTGGCGCAGCACATCCAGCGGATTGACAATGGACAGCGACGGTTTATTCCGCTTGGCCAGCGAGTACTCATCCTGAAAATAGAAAACGAAAGGGAAACAGAGAGATCCAATTTTTTATGCATTCATATTTTAACTTCTGCTTACAGTGCACAACAAATTCTTAATTCAAAAAGTTTTCAACTGAGAATCTGTTTGAGTTGGTTCTCACTTTGTTACGCTTGTTTTGCACAAATATCTTCTTGAATAGCCAAGTTATGAAAGTTTCTAGATAAGTTAATATAGGTCTTTGACAATATTAATGTTCATAGAGACAGACAATTGACGCCAGAATTATATAATATACAAAATTGAATAAGAGAGAACTTGTCCTATTTCTGATATAATGAAAGTCTGAAGATAAACTTAAATTCTGGGAACATCTAACAAAATAGAAAAAAAAAAAATGAATTCTGCAATAATTTAAATTTATATATGAAAATCGGTTTTTAATGGGCAAATAATAAATCATTTAGCTTGACAATTAAACCCCAAAGTGTGATAAGCATTTCCGAGTTTCTGTTTGCCATTTTTTTTATTATTGTTCTTTATAATTAAAGAGCTGATTAGCGGTTTTCGCTGTTTGCTGCATCCAAATGAATAAATATTTACAATAATTTGCAAACTCGGGCAGCTTTCAGATAACAGACTGTGTGTAAACAACTCAATGTAGATAACATTGAGACATTCTAGATGATTTTTGAATGACTAATGATAGCTAACATGTACACGTATCATGATCAAGGCCAGCAGAAAGTATTTCTTATCAATAAATTTTCGTTATTGTATCATAAGACTTAATGCCAATTACAATTTTCATATATTAGCATAAATTGACCAATGCGTAAAAGTGTGGGAAGTCAATAAAATCTATGTCATATATTAGAGAAAATCTCAGAAATTTATAGAGAACATGATAAGCCCCAAGGCTGCCGGCCATCAGCTAAACCGCGAATTGGTCAAGTTGGACAATGTGAACGCCCCCAATTATCAAGTCTGGCAAAGTCTTGTGATTGGTAATTGATCATAGATAACTCTAGCTCCGCCTGTGATGGTTCAATCATTAGCAATTGGTTTGTGGAAAATACCCGAAGGTTAGACGATTGCCGAATAAGTTTCAGTTCCTTGTTATTGTTTATTTTGGAGTGGAAAATACCATAAGGTCAAATAAAACCTTAACCTGCCCAACGCCAATTTTCAAGGTTAATCGAATTAACCAACGAAAGAACATAATTAAGTACGAAAAGAAGTCCCGCAAATCTATCGCCGGGTACTCCACAATGAAATTTCACTTTTTTTTGCCCTTTTCGTTATCAGACATTGTAGCGCAGATAGCGATTAGATAAGAAATTTTGGTTGTAGTCATGGATGGCCAGCATGTCTGCGAGCCATGGTAACTGGCTGCCAATAGCCCCTTGCTTTCATGATATAAAATGCTCGGGCTATACTCCGGGTTATTTAGTATACATCGAACAATAGTAAAATGAAGGTTATAACAATTGCGATATTCCTGGTTCTCTGCGGCGTAGTCGCGGCCAGGCCGAACGGCTTTGACTGGGGACGTAATCACGGCGGCTGGGGGGCAAACATCCATCGCGATGATCAATGGCATGACAGAGTAGGCAATCTGGAACATGGTCGCTGGAATAAGCATGGAGATAGATGGCAAGGAAGGTTTGGCCGCTGGCACAGAGATGAGAGTGGTTGGCATAGAGACGACCGCTGGAGGCATCCGAATTTCCCAAACCATGGAATGCGTCCTGAACAACCTACAGCATTGCCAAGTTCCACAGCAGCTCCCGTGGAGACTTCCCAGGCTCCCGAATCAACTCAGGCCCCTGAACAGCCAATTGAAAGTAGCCAAGCACCCGAGGTGACAACTGAGGCACCCGAACAGTCTACAGTGGCACCCGAAGAGACTACTGAGGTACCCGAAGAGACTACAGTAGCACCGGAAGAATCTACACAGGCACCCGAAGAGACTACTGAGGTACCCGAACAGACTACAGTAGCACCCGAGGAGTCTACAGAAGCACCAGAGGAGACTACGCAGGCACCCGAGGAGTCTACAGAAGCACCCGAAGAGACCACAGATGCACCCGAGGAGTCTACAGAAGCACCAGAGGAGACTACGCAAGCACCCGAGGAGTCTACAGAAGCACCAGAGGAGACTACGCAAGCACCCGAGGAGTCTACAGAAGCACCAGAGGAGACTACGCAAGCACCCGAGGAGTCTACACAAGCACCAGATGAGTCTACTCAGTCATTCGGTGAGCCCACTGACACTACTCTGGCACCCGAGACGCCTGAAGAGTCTACTCAGGTAACCGATGAGCCGACAGAAACTACTCAGGTCCCCGAAGAATCGACAGACACTACTCAATCATCGGAAGAGCCTGAAGAGTCTACTAAAGTTACAGAAGAGCCGACTGAAACTACCCAAGCCACCGTAGAGCCAGAAGAATCAACGACCGAAGGTTCGGGAGAACCTGTTGAGACAACGACAGAAGCAGAGGAGGGAAGCGGGTCGGCGAGGTCATAAGCTCGCTCTGACAACTAGAATATCATTATTATTTCAATGCTAAGCGAGCGTAGTAAGCATTGGGAATCCAACATAGTTATGAAGCGAAATGATATGTTAATATAAGTAGATGGTTTTATTCTAATTATAGAATATGTTAGTCAAATGATTTCGTAATCTTTTATTGTTCATCATTTTTTGAGTACTTCAAAAATTCAATTGCTACGATTGATTTTAAAGAATATCATACACTTTTTTTTGTTAACATGACATTATCATAATGGGTACTTAAGATTGCCTTCTATGTAGGGTCCATAAATAAAATTTTTGCTGATTTCTGTTACCGCACAGAATGTTAAAGGCAGAAATTCAAGTCCAATCGTCAGTTCCGATACGTCGCAAAAATGTTTCAACGCAACTCATATCGCTGGGCATAAAATAATAAACGTGGTATTCAAATGGCTTATTACTCATGCAATTCGATCGATATGTGTACTTTTGTTATGGAAAAATTTTCGCAACAGCAATTACATATATTAGCAGCAGATTATATCATTTATTGCTGTTAGTATTTACTCAGAAATAATATCAATAATTGCGCATAACTAGATGTTTTCCCTGTTAATCGAAGACAACTGTTCAAATATGCGGCGCCTGGAGCCTGGGCCCTATAAATAGATCGTTATCTGAAGAAAACGATATCAAATCAAATCTAAAGTACATCATGAGGGCTATTACATTAGCAATTTTCGCTATCTTGTTGGTTGCCGTAATGGCACGACGCGGCTCTGGCGGCGAAGGCCAGGGCCCTCCTGGTCTTGGTGGACTGGGTGGCCATGGTCCTGGCGGACTGGGTGGTCATGGTCCAGGCGGACTGGGTGGCCAGGGACCTCCCGGACATGGACGTCCACATGGTCCTCCCGGTGGCAAGCCACCATCAGGTGGATCTGAAGGCGATGAGAACGACAATAATGACAACGATCAAAATGATGATGATAATAATGACAATGAGGATAATAATGACGACGAGAATAACCAGGACGACGCTGGCGAAGCCGAAGATGAGAATGAATCGAATAACGAAGAGAATCAGGACGGCGATGAGAACAACGATCAAAATACCTAAAATCTAATTCTGCTTAAAACTTTAACCTTCTGCCTGTTCACATTTAAAAAAGAATCATGCAATAAATAACTATATTTGGCGACTTAAAAAATTAAGTTGATTTTTTTAAAATTAGTTAATGTAGGGTAGATGATACTTGATGGGAGTAGATATCCCTGTGGCGTTGTCTGTAAGCATGGAGCCAATGCCATTACAATTATTTCTATATCTATCAAGGCAACTATGAAATATTGAATATGGCCGGAATTACAAATGAGAGAGTATTCTCCATTCGCCTAGTTTTCGTTGCCCCAGTTTTATCGCAAATTGTTATGAATTGTTTTTTTTGGCAAAGTTTGCGCATAAATTTCCATTTGACTAAACTATTTACGCTGGCAAACTTTCATCTTGGCTCTAAATAGTTTTGAATTTACCAAATGGTGCACTGGATAAAATATTTATAGTGCAACCAAATAGTTGATAAAAGATGCAGGCCTCGGGCAGAAAGAGAATATTTGTGAGAATGAAGACCACATTCACAGATGTTCGTGTGTCCCAAAAGTTGCTCCTTTGAAATGGCCGCCTGTCAATTTGACAAGTGATGGCAGCAGTGCCCCCAAGCATTAAGCCCCATTGTGGCCTCCAAGTGGAGCCCACACATATTGACCAAATTAAACAGCGTGAAAACTTCAACTTTTGTTGTCAACTTTGGGGGATTTATTCACGCTGTAAAACAACAAAGCGTCAAGCTTTATTTATCTTCTTGTCAAAGGTAAACAAACAAGGTTATAATATGTTTTGTTTACTTTTTGTTTACATTTTTTTTTTCTATTAATTTTATTTTTTGCTGTGCTAATGAAGCGTACATAAATCGTTATTAAAAATTTTCCATTTACAAAATTCATTTACAATCAAGTGCGAATGTTGCTGTTGGGAACTAACGAATGCGTAATGCTCGTTCACGGTCCAACAATACTTGAATGTATGAATATATAAATATTTTGGAATTTTAAGAGACGTAATTAGCCGGGAAATGCTATGCCCCATTTTTCACAATGCATTAAATTTATTTTTTTTTTTTATTAAATTTGGAATATTTAGTTTTAAATATTTTACATTTATATATAACTTGATTTATTTCAACAGTAGGCCAAATCTAAAATTGTAATTATAGGATACAGTTTATTTTTAAATTTACCCGCATCTTAGGTAAACAATTTTGAAATAATTAACAACTCACGTTATAATCTCGTGTTCACCAATGTGTATAAATTCTTAAAAGTGCCAGACATCAAGATATTGCCCTTATAAACCAATAGACTCGCTTAATTTCATAAATTAGCACAAAAGAACATTGACTAATTTGTTTGTTTTCACAATGTTAAATCTTAATGATTGGTCATTGGACACATTCTGTTGATTAGATAACTCGGGACTATTGTATGTCTCATTTCAAGATAATACTGAGAATACTTAGAATGTTTTTCAATTGCGCCTTCATTAGAAATCAAAAGTTGTTTAATCGGAAATGCGACCAAGTCGATAAGGGAGCTTCCTTATCCTACATCAAAATTTTTGGGAGTTGGACAAACACGAATGATAACAAGGGCTAAGTAGGAGGATTTATTGATAAACATATATAAAATATATACATTTTTGGCAAGCGGTTGTGTATAATGAATAAACAAACTATTTTTGTATAGGACTGGAATAGAAGAGATCTTGATAAAAATGGATATAGATCAGGAGACAGAGCGAGGCCGAAATATAGAACGAAAGAGTTTCTATTTTGTATTTACTTATAAAAGGTAGACTTTAATCTTTATGTAAAAGACACTATATAGCATGTTTTTTGCGATTTCAATTAGCTGCCAATCCTTAGCAATGAGTCGCCAGTTGCCCAATCCCGAACTTCTTATAAGGAATCAATTGATTGTCAATTGCAGACACACGTATATATATATCATTACGAACATATACCAACAATTATTACCGTTATTTAAATAAGGGAAGCAATAAAATTAAATTTACTTCTGGTTTCTATTTTTTCTCTTTCCCTCGTCTGTTTGCAAATGAAATGCTTATAAATGCCCCGATGGCAACATCAAAGAATTCATCATTTTTTTTCCATTTCTCTTTTGTACAGATTAAAAGGCAAAGGAAATGTGAGTCCGAAAAAAAATGTCAGAAAAATGAGCGACAACTGCGGAAAACCACAAAAGACTGGTGTACGGGGGACAATAGCAGCGCTCACGGCCTACTCACCTGTACGGCCTGTACATCCAAATAGTCCAGCGGAAATCCGTTGGCTGAGCCACCGCCTGCAGCACCCGCTGCTGTTGCCGGCGCACCACGCTGTGCGGTGCAAACGAGCCTCGTGGCGCTGAGTAAAGTCAATAACACCGGGCAAAACCACGCTGTGGCTTTCATCATTCTGCAATTAAAAGGGGGGAAAAAAAAATAAATAAAATACAAGTTAATAAAAAACAACAACAATAATTGCATGGAAAATAAACGGATGCACAATCCGGACGATAAAACGGGCACTGCGCCGACCCAAATTGCATCAAGTTAAATAAAAATTGAATATCATTCCGTCTGAATAAACGGAATATTGAGCAGAGCCTGTCGAATCAAAAACAGGTTTATATATATATATATATATATATATATATATATATATATATATATATATATATATTTTTTTTTTTTATATTTTTTTTTATTTATTTATTTTTTTTTTGCATTAAACGCATTTATGTATAGTCCATCAAATATGCATGCTCCAGAAATCTAAAAAATATGTTGTTAAATGAGTTTGAAGGACTAAAAATCTTTCGAGACTCTATTATATTATTCCGATTATAAAATTGATTTTCATTTTTATTAAACAGCAAAAAAATCCTTGAATATACCAATGAATTTTTAATAATTTACATTATATATTTCATAGTGGTTTCGAAATGCAAAAATTAGTTGATATGGTATGTGTAAATATGTACCAGAAAGATTAATATGAATTGGCGTCAATAATTCATATCTTATATTCAGTCTGTCTTAACCTAACAATGCATTGCAATGGTTCGAGCTCCATTGAACCCAAACCATATAATTATACATATATACTCTAATATTTATCTAATACCAAATTCAAACAATATCCGATGCTGTCCATGACAATATATGTGTAAATCTAAAATAATAATATTTAATACCTAATTAATATAAAAATATAATTACCTATTTTCGTAGGTTGCAATCTTTCAATTTGATGAATAAATTATAATTAAAGCATTTAAAAAGTGTAACAATTTTCTCTGGTCTTTACTTTTTCACTTACAGAGACTGTGACACTTACACGTGTTGAGCTTTTCGTTGCTGGCATACTAAAGCAGTTCGAAGCATAATTTAAGGGCAATCTATCAACATCAGCGCATATATACATATATAGTTGAGAATATATATACATAAATAAATATAAATATATATATATATATATATATATATATATATATATATATATATATATATATAAAACGTATCTGGACTCTGACATTGATATTGCAACGCGTTGCAAGCGTGTCCGGAATATGCGAGAGTCGTGTGTGGAAATACGCAACCTTTTGACATACTGAAGTGTGCTTATAATTTATGGCTTATGCACATGCATGACCTCTTCTAACCCCACTTTCAACTCAGCTCTTCACTCCCCGTGGATGGATGGATGGATGGACTCGCCAAATGACTTTGCCCAGCGACAGCGAAACATAAACGTAATGTGTGGAAATAACATAAATAGATGGCAGGTCGCTGGCTAGGGTTTCGGATGGACATGTGCCCCCCTCTTGTAGCACAGACAGACTGGGGACACTGACGGAACGAACTATTATGGCCAACTGAAAGGATTCCTTTTGTGGCCACAAAACAATTTGCACGCCTGCTCGATTATGCAAACTATCCCTTAGCTAACCAGAACTGGGAAATAATTTAAGAGCTGTCAAAGGTTGAATACCCTGGAAAATACTAAGCCAATGTAGAGTATACCTCAAAATAAGGTTGTGAAAGAAGAAGAAGGGCATGTTTCTAATAAAAATTGCTGACTTTTTCTAAGATATAGGGTATCAAAGGCTCAATTTAAAGGCCAATGACTGGCAACAGGCTTACAATTTCCGCTTAACCTCAGGCCAGGAAGGCCGTAAATCCTCTAAAATCGTTGTGTATCTAAAAATAGATGTAAACACCGTGTAAATATAGTGTTACATGCGTCGTGCGCCGTGCGCTGTGCGCTGTGCGCTGTGTCGCACTGCTCTATTTATTTTTTTAGCCTGCGAATTGGCTTTGCGTTCCGTTTGGGGCCCACTCTCACTTCCTTTAGCTCCACATGGCATCCTTTGCCACATATTTTGATTAGCTTGAGTAAATGTTTACGGGGGCCTTCTATTTCAGTTGCTGTGTGACCCGCATTAAGCTATTTATTTATTAATGCTCAACAGGAATCAAAGGCAATATTCTTCCAAAGTTCGTATATAGTCCATGAACTTGAGTTGAAGAGTGCGATTGATAATCAAATTTTTTTTGACAAAATGCCAGCCTCAAGTTATCGTGCGTCATCTGCCTATCAGCTGCTCTTTGAATTGTCATCAAAATTGAGATAAGCAGCGCTCTCTTTTCTTTTTTCAATTATAACATGAGTACACAGCGTGTACTACGTGACGTATACGCAACGCAATTTTCGTTTAGTTTCTGTTGTATGCTTTGGGGCGCGTTGATAAATATTTTTTTCGTTTATTTTTTTTTTTTATGTAATTTATTGCCCTGTAAAAAGAGAACTGAACTTTAAATAAACTAAATATCACATTCTGTTCAATGGATTTTTCTGTCTATATTTGGATAGTTATCTAAAATAATACAGGTTAAAAATATTTTTTCTCATACAGATTTGTCTGCATTTTTGCTAAGCACTTAGCTCCACTTAAGCTGAGCTGTCATCTGTGAAACTTGAGCGCAAATCTCTCTGGCTGTTTAACTAGTTGGAAGTTGATGGCATAGCCACAAGATATTTGACATATGTAAGCAACTCCATAAAAAAGGTGGCAGCGATGACATGAGGGATTCGGACAGCTGTCATATTCGGGGTCAGGATTTGCGAATATACGAATATTGAAATGTTGACAGCAGTGCTGCATATGGCAAAATAGAAATATATGAAAATTCGTGGATGTGTCAATTTTTTGCCCCATTCTATTTTCTATTTCCCTCCACTCGCAATTGATGCAAAAAATGTGAGATAAAATTCCATTCGGTAGCCCAAAAATGAAATTACATTGTTTAAATACCATCATAGGAAAATGTCTGCATTTGAAGTTCAGCAAATAAACAGATTTTGTTTGGGCATTAAACAATGCTCGGCATAATGTGGCCCAATAAAAACTGCCCTGCCCCACTGCGTAAGCACATGCACTGCGAAATAAAGGGACTGCCCCACTGAGAAATCGTGATTGCCCGGAGCGCGTTCGCTTGCTTTTATCTGCGCAGTTAAAGCATAAATAAAATATATATGTATTAACAATAATATGTATAAAACATAAGAAATAAAACGGCAAAAGTCCCGTCTATTTGCATTTAACATGTATGCAAATATCTGCGCAGTTAGGCCAAAGTTTTAGGTCGATAAAAAGGATTTTTACGAGCGAACAATTTGATTTTTTCCGCTAAGCTAAGCTAAGAAAAAAAAAAAACATAGAAGTGAATAAATGAATTTAATGTATGAATAAATGATTCGACTGCAGCTCAATTGGGAGATTTACTGTAATCAAATCATGTGCAAACATTGTGTGCAACTAAGTGGGTATATTAGACTGCTGAAATACCGGTTAGTATTTTTTTTACTGAAATTATAACGAATGTAATTAATAGTAATTTCATTTATATGTAGATTTGTCTAATGAAACTCTGTGGGGAGGCCATTATTCGAAAAGTATGATCTCAATTGAGTTACATTTGCAGCTGCGAAAATACAATCTAAATCGAATTGACATGTGTTACAGTTACGATCTTGAAGACACAAAAAAAAAAACAATCTTTTATGAGTCGCAAACAAAACGTGACCCATCACAAAGTGACGTCACAGTTGGCTGGCTCGATGGAAATGACAGGACAGCAAGTTTTCGCAGCCAATCAAAAGTTGAAAATGTTCGCCAAGACATGTTTGCACTCTAGTAAATTACAAGACTCGGGACCTTAACTACAGGACAGCAGCCGAAGAGGCTGAGGCTGAACAATGTGAAAATTGCATAAGGAATAAAAATTAATTACTTGAGCAGCTGTAGTGCTTGCCATTGAAAAGTGCTGGACACATTCTCAAGCAAACCCAATATTTAAGATCTCTTTAATTTTTAATTTAAATTCTAGTTCCATTTCGTTAAGGGAACAAAAATCCAAATTCCCAAACTGAGCTGCTCCACTCATTTCGTTAACGTCTTGTATCACAAGTAAATTAATTGGCAACACGTAATGAATTTGGCCAATGTTCCATTGCCAATGAACATCTATAAATTAGGCTACAAGCCAAATTAATTGCTGAAAACATTTTATTAAATTAAGGCTATGTTTACTTTTAGGCTTGCGGCGTACACAAAACACAAGTACATATGTATGTACATAGATTTATCCAGTTATATGTAATTGAGAGGATAAAGGGAAAATGTTTATCTATATTATTATCTATTATAAATATAGAATTATATAATTATATCTTTAATGGTTGTTTATAGTATATAATTTTATATTTATAATATTAAATATAAATATATAATATAAAATATATACAAAGAATATTTGAGAATATAATTGATAGTAATATTGCCTATTAAATATTCATATACATTTTTAAAATAAAAAACAAATTAAATGTATATATTTGGTTTGCTTGAAATTTTATATTTTATATTTATATATTATTATGTTTATTTATAATATTATAAATTTATATATTTTGTTTGTCTATTATTACAGATGCAATATTGTATCTTTATCTTTATCAAATTACATATCAAACTGAATACAACGGCTTATACGGCCTATTAGTTTGAAAAAGAATATTCGGTGAACTACATTTTTGAAATAATAAGTTTTAGTTATATTTCAAGACACACACTTTTTATTATAGTAAGTGAATATATATTATATAAAATTTTTCAAATATAATAAATTTATTTAAAGATTACTAAAATAAATTCACATAAAGTAAGGACACTTAAAAAAAACTATTGCGCCAATAAAAATATATATTTATTATTAAATTAAAATGCATATGTATTGTTATTTATTTATTTTTTTATATATTTATTTTTTTTTCTATAAACAAATATTATTCACTTATTCTATTTTATTTTATATTTTATGAACATCATTTATCAGTTCTCTTTCTATATATAATTTGGGTTTAGAAATTAATTGACGAGCAATTTGAAATCGAATTCAAATCTTTTGTACCCACCAGTTATTACGTTGATTAGGTTTAATCCACAAAGTGAAAAACGTTTGCTTTAACAACGCGTTGAATGCCACCAAATGCAAATAAGTTACTTTTCGTTCAAATTGGTTTGGTGTTTGCCGTTTGATAACAATTTTTCTTCACACACTTTGGTAATTGGCTGTGAGAAAATTTCGTTTGATCTTAACACTGGGTAATATTTATGGTTTTCAAGATTTACGTTTTAGGGCCAATATTTTATTTTTATGGGCTCACGCGCGACTGCAATGAAACGAAATGGGACTCAGCTTAAATTCCAAATTTGAATATATTTTTGAGTGAAAATTCGCACAGAAATTATGTTGAAATTTCAGTTGTTAATTGGAGGGCTATAAAGCTGGCCTAAGGAGCTAGGCTCTGTTCCTTCGAATTGCTATTCGAGGCTGTGTCCGAGAACGCAACAGGCTGACGACGAGCGAAATACTCTGAGCTCGAGCCGTTGCTCGCTTGTTTTTATATTGCAAGGCAATGGACGACGCTGAACGCTCCACGACGAGCGCCAAAGCCGAGCAACAAGGACGACGACGACGACGACGATGAAGGGACGACGACAGGACGAAACCATGCGACTAGTTATGAATGAATCCGTGCGACACGCACCAACGTGGGAGGCTCCACATGTGGGCCCCCAGTTACAAAATTCACACCGAATGTTGCCCGAGCAACTAACGTGAATGCTTGCAACATGTTTCTGCAACATCTGCTATCTACCTATCTACCCATCTTTATCTCTTTGTTTGTGTGTTTCCCCTTTTAATTATCGAACTCTATTAATAAGAAATGAATTTTTATGCGCACATTAATTGCTTGATTATTTTATTTTTTAGCCAGACCAAAGGGTTTGCCTCGGTTATTGGAACTGACCTCAGAGCCGGGCTAACAACTAACATCTAACGGTTTTTGGCAGCTCAGCCGCTGATCAGCGCTCAGGTGTGAAATTGCATGCCATTCATCTTCATCTCCTAAAGAAATATATGTGTGTATACAGATGTGCATAGAACAGCACTGGCTACAATGGGTGCGTGACGCAAATATCAGCGCATAAAATCAATCTTTATCTAAAGGGGCTTAACTACATTGCAAATAAAATATAATTGTATGTAGATGTACCATGTGCACAGGTAAATAAAATATAATTCTATATCTGTATCATGTGCACAGGTTGGGTGGGGCAAACATAATCTTCTGATGTTCTTTTTCACTCTCCCTTTCTCTTTTATTTGGCGCCAGTTCTTTTTATGTTTACAAATATGATAAGTATTTTTTACCCACCCTATACAGTATCGTTAAGCATATATATGTGACAATGAGTTTATCGTAAAAATTCAAAATTCAAAGCTTAATCAAAATTATGCTAATTATGATATTGAAAATAAGTTTTTTGTTAGTATTTTATTTTTAAATACTATTCTTATATATTTATATTTAGCTTAATTATTTAAATATATATATTTTTTAAATGTATGGTGTATATAACAATTTTTATAAGTAGCAATATTAATAATTGCTAAATCATCAATTTAATAATAATAATTTTTTTCTTATTTATTTTTTATTTTTATTTATTTATTATTATTGAAAAATTGTTAGATAAATTTATTCCGAAAAATAATAGTTATATAATATTATTGTACATACATACAAAATATATATTTAATGCCTCTTACGATTTTTTGTGATATGCTCATATCATCTGCCCATTGTTCAGCTCTCGTGCCATTAATCTTGGCCGTTTGTGAATACGTTCTTATATTTGTTCGCGAAGTGAACGGAGAATATTGGCTTGTCCGCTGGTTTGTATAAATATTTCACTATTAAAACAAAAGATTTAAAATTTTGAACATCTTTATATGCTCTCGTGCTCTTCATGAAGTGTTATTTATATTTCATATATTTTCTATACAAATTGTTATTAGACTCGAAATTGAATGTGAGCGCGATAAATCGACGAGCTCTTTATCTGTTTTCTTTTTTATTGCTGATACCCATCAATTTTATAATATTATACAATTATACTCATGTTTGATAGAGTCTCTATTCACATATAGATATACGGGCTGTCAAAGATAGCTATAAGAAACATCATTTTGTATACATCCTTAACTTTTTGTAAGCTGTTAAAAACAAATTAAATAGTATAAAATGTGTTACTATACTTATTTAAAAGATCAAAAGTGAGGGTATTTACTAGTTGACCACCCCCAGGAAGAGTACTCCAAAATGATCGTTTATATTTATTTCCTTCTTCTAAGCTATATTATATAAGGAGCTGTCATCCCTAAGCCACAGTTAAACAGCTACGGCTGGGATAAGGATAACGAAGTGAACGAGTATCATTCAGTTGGTAGATACAGGCTGAAATATACTTAGATAATTTTTTTTATCACTTGTATTCCCATAAGATTGCAGAACTTGGCTTCGTTCGCAAGTTGTGGTGGCCCAATTTAACCTTTGGTGGAAATTAATTGTCGCATTGGCGGTGCAACAGTGTTGCCGGCCATTCATCAGAGGCCGTTACCCAACACCTATTCCAGTGTGTCTACCACCTGCCTGTTGCTCAACAGCTTGACATCCTTTTTAATTGCTGTCAATGCGTGCCCAGGTGTAATTAAACACGTGGGCCGCGACCCGTTACCTGCTGCTGATTTTTGCTTTGTGTTAGCCCTTCACCAACATGCGCTGATTGAAATCTGTCAAAACATTTGACTGGCATTTTACAGCACTAGTCGAGCAAAGAGTGTGGAGTAATGTTTGTTCATGTCGTAAAGCTAACAAGTAGTTATCGATAATTGAGTTGTAAATGGTTAAGAAAATAGTATATGGTTGACCTAAATATAGAAGTAGTCAACTATCAATCAATCATAAGATTAAGAATGAAAACCGAGATCTTTTCCTTTTAAGCAATACGTAGCAAAGTAAGTCTTATCAAATATAATCTAGTTAGAATTTCCATCTACTCAAGCTTATGCTGGCATTGTAAATCATCTCACTTAGCCACTCGAATTACCTAATTAATACCAGCTCGGGCTAAGTTTTTGGCCATTTTATTGAGCTACTGCCCTTTGACCTGCTCCAACAAAAGTAGACTCAACTGCTGGCAAAGTCGAACCGTTTTCATTAGCTCAAGTTGATCGACTATAACGACGTCACTTGTGTTGGCTGAGATAAACTCATTAACATGTTGATTAAAATCACGACAGAGTTCAAACGCTGCGTCAATCTTTTGTTTGATTTGCGTAATAAGTCAATGTTGGTGGAGCAGCCGAGGAGGAGGAAAGCAGCTGGAGTGCGGGAGCGACAATTTCTAATTGCGCTGCGTCAGTTTTGACAGGCGCTTAAACGGTAAACGTCACTTGGCTCAATTATGCGTGTTAACAGAACAGACTGCTCAGCTCAGCTACCCTCCCCCCCGCTGCAAGTACCAAGCGACCTGAGGGCCATCTTCGCAGCTGCTGTCGATAAAGTGAAGCAATTATTAATTTATGGCAAGCTCTCAAGTGTGCCAACAAAGCAGTTAATATACTTACGAATGAAGATGGCTTAGTTGGCACAATGCGATACTGTATTTATGTATGTATGTATGTATATTAAATAATTATTACATTATTGGTAATCTTAAATTTCAGTTTTGACCATCGCGTGATATATGTACATATGTATGTATCTAATTATGTATCATAAGTATGCATATACGTACATGCATACATAGATGGAAGAGCAAAACTTAATATTGTAATTTGGTCTTAATCATCCTTTTATATTTAATTTATTCTGCCTGTTTTTATATGAGGATAACACAGTTTGACTTATCTTATATTATAAGTACATATATAAAAATATCAAAATAATATACAAATACATATAAGAAATTTGAAGATAATTTATTTTAATAAAAGAAAGAATTATTTCAATGTAGCAAAATAAACTTCATTAGTGGTATTGTTTTTGAAATGACAATTAAATTTTAATTATTAAGAATTATAAGCATCCAGTGCAGCCCGAAGTGGGTTCAGAAAATAAATTAAAATTGAGGAGCTCTTGTGCTGAGCTTGTTCACAGCTTGAAGTTCAATTTTATACTGTTTTATTTCATCAATGCACACACTAAGCGCAGCTAGTGCCGAGGGAGTGCGATCATAGGCCGATCAAGCAAAGGGAGAGCAAGCATAGAGAGAGCCAGCATAAGGAGAGCAGGCAAAGGGAGTGCGATTATAGGGAGAGCAAGCAAAGGGAGAACAAGCATAGGGAATACAATCATAGGGAGAGCGACACTTCCGCTCTCACAGCTTCAACTCCAATTGCTGCTCTCTACAGAGTGAATCGCTAATGAAGTATACTAGTTTAAAAAGTTCATGAAATGCATTCAATGACTTAATAATAACAATTTTTTTTTTTAATTTAACATGTAAAATAAAATATTTATTTATGCACATATTAAAAATAATAACAACATATGTAAATAATCGACTGATTGTTGATTTATTATTATTGCTTAACTGCTCATTCGAAAAACTTCTATCAGAAGTCGACTAACCATTATAGGGATTTTTTCTGCCATAACGAATTGCTTCGGATTGAAAGTTTTTGCTGATTAAATTTCATTTACATCGTAATTCGAGTGTCTGACCGCAAAAGAAGCTCTAAAAATGAAGCGAATTTACGCTCAAGTTGGGCTAAAATGGGCCAGCAAAATCCCGCAAAACTTTTTGCCACAAGCTAAGCAAAATGTTTAACTAAGAAAACGAAACAAAAAAGCAAAAGAAGAAACTTTTCTCTTCGGACAGCAATAATTAAAGTGAAGAACTTTCACGTAAAGCGCTTAACTTTTGGCATTTACTGTGACTGAAATATAAATGGGTTGATCATTTTGTTATTTAGACGGACAGGTAACTCTTATCTGAGCTATGCGAAAATGCGTGAAAATTTATTTGCATTATGGTTTTTTAAGCGGTCTATATATGAATGTGTGCGTGTGGGCGCGTGTTTATGCTTGTGTGCGTAACGTATGACAGCATGCAAGCGTTGCCAGATGGCTGAATAACATGGACAGCTAGCTGGACTGATGCAGCGGAAAGACTGACGAATTTACATGCAAACATTGTACATACATACATATATTATAGGGAGCGTAGATGAGACTGAGTGCGCTCGTGGGTGTGTGTTGAATTTTTATTTTTTCGCCACCCATTTTGGCGTTGATTTGTAGTTGGAGGCGATTAATAGTGCATGCGTACACACACACTCATACACATTCAGAAATTCACGCCTACTATTCCAAAGCATTTGTCAACTGCTTTTGGGTCTCTGCGGCAAGTCCAAATTTGATTTATGAGCGCATTGTGATATATGCAGAAATAAGTGAAAGAAATCAATAGGTGTGTGGTGGGGGTATGGGGATTGGATAGCACAGCAGGGAATGGGTCCATTTAGTT